TCTTAAGGTTATACGTGTACAATCAAGCTAAACATATTTCCACATTAGTCATGTTGTGAAAGAAGAATCACAACAAAAGAGAAAAACCACAAGAAAGAAAAAACAAAAAGACCAAAAGAAGTGAAAATAGTATGCTTTAATCTGCATTCTGACTCCATAGTTCTTTCTCTGGGTGAGGAGAGCATTTTCCATCATGAGTCTTTTGGAAGTGTCTTGGATCATCGTATTGTTGAGAAGAGCCAAGTCTATCATAGTTGATCATCGCACAATGTGTTGCTGTTACTGTGTACAATGTTCTCCTGGTTTCTAAGCAGTTATTTCTTTTTGTATTTTGGCATATTTAATATAATTTGATAAAAGATGTCTTTCAATTCTGAAATTCTGTGAATTTCAGAAGAAGAGAACACGTGCACTGCAAATATTTGGAACCCTGAGTACTGGATATGGAAGCTGAGGATGTTGGTTCAAACTCATTGTTTTCTATCTGTGACTTTGGGCAAATCACTTCATTTCTTTGGCCTCAGTTTCTTTGCTGTAAGTGGAGTAGATCGATAACTAAGGTCCCTTCCAGTTCTAGATCTTAGATCCTATGAATCCCAAGGTTTTTCTGTATTTTACTGATACCATTAGAAAAAAGTTGTCATTTATAGAATTTAACTCTATTAACTAGAATGTTGAATAATTATATCACATTACTTGACCCACTCTACATAAGTTGATTGCCCCTTTACTAATACAGCTACTACTGTAATGCTATTTATTACAAACAGTGCCTACATTAGTTGTGTTTATGAAAGTAGTGTGAAGGGAGGGAAAATGCAGTTTACAATCATCTGTCTCAATGTCTCAAAGTTCTAGTCTGAATAAAAATTGTTCTTAGATTATCATAATTTGTTGAGGTCATTATTGGTATTAATACTTATGAGCTGATAACAATTACAAGATTAGAATGAGCTATTCATAAATTTAGGATTAAACTGGTATGAATATATTTTAGATTTTCATGTAGACTTTGGTTTATATAAAGGTAGCATGCTGGGTAATTCAAAGAGCACTAGTCTTGGAATATGAAGAATAATGTGGATCTGGAGAAGCCACATTAACTTCCCTGAGCCTTAGCTTTTTCAACTATATAAAAGAATGAAAAATAAGGGTCAGCTTAGGATTCCACTTCCTTTGTAAAACCTTCCTTGACCATCACTCTTTCCAGTTTTTAGAGTTTGCAAAGTGCTTTGCCTATTTTCTCATTTGAAAATGCTCTCCTTCCTCAAATTAACTTGTATTTTAACTTATGTGTATGTGTGGTATTCCTTCCCAGTATAAAACAAAGGCAAGGTTCTGAAGGATGGAGCCTGTTTCATTTTTGTCTTTATGTGGCCAGAACCTAACAGTGTTTCATACATGGTAGGCCCTTAATGTTTGGTGAGTGATAAAAATAATTTTAAATTATAAACAAACCAGGAGGCAACATAAAGAACTTTTTGGATGTTTTTGAAAAGACTTACATTTATCTTTGCCACTTTTTAGTTGGATTTTATATTGTTCAATTTTTCTTCAGTATTTTCAGACCATAAATGGATCAAATTTTAAGTGTAATGAATATCATTATAGTCTTGGCAACAGACTTCTTCCTGAGGACCAGTTCAGCTAAGTGTGGATAAATTCCTCACCAATAGGCTAGACACAAGGTAATGCATTCTTTGGTTATAGCAACTCTTCTCAGGTCCAGATGGAAATAACCCCAGGATTCAGCCTAGGAACCCCAAGAATAGCATCACCCTACAGACCACATGCTCTACTTCCAGCCCAGCTCCAACAACCATCATTATAGGCATCAGTCCTGATTAGAGATGTGACTTGGCAACTGGTTCTCCAACTGCTTTAGCAGTCACAACAATTACTGGAGATCTAGGACAGAAAACTTTTTACACCAAAGTTTTACATCAAAGCTACACCAAAGTCAAATGGTTCACTCTGCATCAGAAATGGACATAGTTTTATTAGTAGAAATGACATCAAAGAAGCTGGATTACTATCTATCTTGCTGCTGCACCCTAAAGACCACTGTGCTTTTTCATCTTGGTTTAAAGCTCTAAGTGGTGTTTCTCCCTAATGTAATGTGAGTTCCTTGAGAGCAGGGAACTGTCATACTTTTCTATTTGTAATCCCAGGGCTTAAGCACATAGTACACAGTGTTAACAGGATTTTTACTAAGCCAGTCTCTAACCTGAGAATGCTCAGACTCACACAAAGCAGGCCTAAAGATGGGAATGCCAGTAATGAAGTAGTTTAATTAATCAATTTCAGAGTGAGGAATGTTCCCTTTGCTGAAGTAAAAGCACAGGTTATATACTTAAATCACAGCTGGGGAAGGTGGATTACAAACAATCATTTACTGGTTTCCCATGAGAAACCTACGAGTCCCACAATACAATTCTGAGAAGTCAAGTCTCTGGGGGTTGCGACCACCTCCCCTAAAGTACAAAACTAGAGCTCTGTAACAGGAACAGGTTCTACAGTCTTTGATTTACTTTACTTCAGGTATACAGGCACAAGGATACCAGTGATTGTGAGCCATGTCAAGGTTTGACTGATCAGTTTAAGCTGCACTGTGAGTCTGACTCACAAGCTGGAAAAGGCAGCTCTTGAGAAAACTAAATTATTAGTATATTCATTACATATATCATATTAACATGAAAATTATAAATTCCTTTCTCAACAGCAACATGTTCTCATTCAATCATTAAGCAAAGAATACAAAATAACCCAAAGGAAGGTAAGGGATGGTAAGAATCTCTCGTGAGACTCCTGTCCACTGGGTGGACAAACAACTGAACTTTTATCAGTCTTGACTTTCTCATAACACAGAATTGTATCAGTCTTAACATTCTCACACTAAAAACAAAACCAGAAGACAGAAGAACATTGCACTTAAATGGAAGGATAGCTTCTAAATTCTCAATGGAGAAGCAAATAAAGGAGTTGGTTTTATCATGTCTCCAAAGGCAACAAGAAAAATCATTTCATATGACATCTGATTAACTCAAATTACAATGCTCATGAGGAACTATTTGCAAAAAGAGAAACACTGAAAATAACTGCAGGTTATGTTCCAAAAGTCTGATGCACAGGATGAAGTGGTAAAAGAAATTCTATGAATAATTAGGACTCTCTAAATTAAACTGATAAAAATATTTTGATAGTTGGTAACTCTGATACAAAGCTGAAACCAGGGAAAGTCAGAGAAATATGTTGGAAAATATGGCACAAGAGTAAGGAATGAGAAAGACCAAAGACTTGTATCATATACCAAAAGCCTTGTGTTGGTAACAGCATGAAATATTTCCTTTAAAATAACTGAAAAAGCATTGTATTTGTCAACCATGGAAATGTTGGTCTACATTATGATATATAGTTGTATGGACAATGTATTAAGCTCATCTATCAGCATATGTGTGTGTATAAAACACATATTATCGATAGAAAACATCCATTCATTCTTTGCTATCAGGAAGTTGCCATTTCTTTTTATGACCCTAAGCTCTTCCCTAACACAAAGGCTCATGGTTTTTTTTTTTTTTTTGTATGCTTATTCTCTTCCAATGTTTATGTGAGTCATGGAAACTGGAAATCTCTGAAGAATCAAAATTGAGAATCCCTTAAAGGGCTATTGAAAGATGCAATGTGAGAATGAGCAGGCTTGCAACACAATACAAATTAAGGAATTACAAGGAAAAGTGATGGTTTTGGAAACCATGGAAAAACCATAACATGGAAAAAGATGTTATAAAAATTGTATGAAGGGAGGGAAGAGAAAAAGAGATGGGCTAGCTACATGGCAAAAGTAAGGATAGTCCATTCCATTAATATCCTTATAATGTCAAGAGAATGTAAAACGGCCCCCTTGTATGTTGGGTGGATGTCCTGTGGTGAAATTTATATGATGTTATGGGTAAAAGTTGCAAACCACATCACTGGAAGGACTATTCAAACGAATGAAATCAGAGATACAGTTGTATAATGACTATCAACAAACTTGTTACAACTGGAAAAAAATAGTGAAACAGGAAGTAGGTAATTCTAATAAGATGACATTTGCTAAATCCAAATGGATGAAGCATTTGTTAACAGTGATTACATTTTTAAAGTTGCTTTTGTAACTCTGGTCAATGTAGCATTTAATCATGACTTGTGAGGACTGATGAAGATACATGCCTGTTGGCAAAAAGGTGATAAACTATGGCTGCAGAATGAAACATACATGGCCAATGTACTGATTTGTTTTTCTGAATTCTATTTATTTGTTTTAAATATAGGTTCTAATGGAGAAGGGGGAAGATAATCATTAGGAATAGGAACATTAAAAAAAGAATAATGTATCAATAAATATTGTAAAAAACTCATTATTTTTCTTATTCAGTAGTAAAAGGCTTTACATGGTACAACAATAAGATAATACTATCTTTATAAGTTTAAAATAATAAAGTAATTTTAATTGGTCACCTGAAACTTCATATTAAAACAACTTCATGTAATTTTTATCATTTCTATTATTAACACACATACACACACACTTTTTATTTTCAGAATATACTATTAAGTTCCTCATGTACAGAAAGTAGTTATTGTATATCATACCCTGCACTAATTTAAATCCCTATATGTATGTATCTTCTCTAATTTAAAGATGTTTTCTTTTTCTCACTTTGTCCTACATTATAAAACACACACACACACATACATGATTACTGGTGACAAGGGAATATCTGTGGAGATAAACCGTGAAAAATTAACTATGTGACTAGACATCTGAGAAAGAAACAGCAGGTTGTTTAAAGTGTTCCAGATTAAATCAGGAAATAACTAACAAGTCCCTCAGTTCCAAGTAATATAAAATGTTTTAAGTAAAATAAATTCAAAATAATTTTTATTTAAAACAAAAAAAATCTTTTATACTCACATAAAATTTTTGTTAGAAAGAGAACTTGAACAGCAACAGATGCATTCAAGGAGAACTTTTATTTTCAAGTGTATCCACAAAACAAGTCAATATTACAATATTTTATAAAAATATTAAGTTTTAGGCTACCATTATTCAGTTTTAAAAAGTGTTTGTGCTAGATTTTTTTTTCTGCCAACTTTCATTTTTGGTTAGGGTAAGTTCCACATTAAGATTTTAGAGATGAAAAGTTGCTGGAAAAAAAATCTTTAATGTATAAAGTTGATTTTCTCAACAAGTTTAAAAATACATAACCATTTAAAATGAATACATATTAAGTTAGTGTTAATCCTTTACTATACAAATGCTATTACAAGGAACTGTTCCATTCAGTTAAAACCTAATGAATACCAGCATCATTTTCTGGCTTTTTTTTTCTTTAACATTAGTACATAAACATATAATTGTGTTACCCTTTTTAAATGCTTAGAAAAATTACAATTTCATAGTTTACATAAAGCCCTTTAAAAATCTGATATCACAGGTTTATAGAAGACAAGGGAAAATAATATGATGGCACTATTCTTAGAAAGATCCATTTGGTAGAGGGATTCAATACTAAATAGGTAATGTAAACATGAAAAATCATAATTTTTAGTACCAGAATTCTTTTGCCCATTTGCATTAAGATTTTCATCACATTTTCTAAAAAATGACTTGAATTTCAGCAGATACCATAGCATAAATTAAAACTTTCATGATTTATTCAGGTAACAAAGTTATAAACTTCATCCCCAAACTGTAGAAACATGATGTTATTGCTTAATACATGGTATAACTGCACAAAGAGAAGCTATTTTTTTTTTAAAACATAAATGATGTCCTTCAAAGACGTTTCCTTTGAAAACTACATTTACTGCACAGAGAACTCCTCTTGTGGAATTACCTTCAACACCAGCTTATAAGTTGCACAAGAAAATTAGCTTCATTTACAGTCCAATCTTTCTCTCTTTTAAACCTAAGGTTTAAAGAGTTATTATCCAACTTGATCATTTACCATATTTGCCATACTTAATTCTGAACTTTGGACAATTTCCAAAAAGCAAATCCATCTAACAAATGAGTAAGATCTGTCACCACTGGGAACATTCAAAAGAAAAGAAATTTTGAAGGCAATTCCAAACAAAGGGTTCCAAAAATGTCTTGGGCAATGACAGCATCGTTGGAATAAAAGGTATATAGCCTTCCATATTAACTCTTTTGAAAGGGACAACACAAAATTGGATTTATATTTTAAAAAATAAAGCCACAGAGTCTCATTACCTTCATCACATAACCTATCTCTGAAATCACAGAAAATAGTTACAGAGTGGGATGTTTTGAATGCCAGAAAAGCCATGTTGTCACTATATTAGGTCAACATTAAACACTGTCCCTCTACCTATAAATTTTTCAAATCCTCTTTTCCCCATTTTTCTCTTAGATACATCTTCCTCTGTCTGTTAAACGTTATATTCAAGAAAAGCAAAAGTGCAATCATTCAAATCCCTGAACTAGTGACATTTTACATTTGCGGCACTCATCATCATGAGTACATAGTTACATCTTACAGTACCAAATTAATTTTTAAAAAATGCACTGTCTAAAGATTGGCCTTTTTTTTCTTCTTACCAACTAAAGATTAGTAACTCTCCTCTCAGATTGTAGGGTATGGTTTCAAGTCACAAATTGTCAACTTCTATTATCATAAACCTTATAAAATACTAGCACATTTCCTAGATACCTCATTATTCTAATTTGAGCTAATCAAAACATAATTAAAAAGAAAAATCTCTCATGCTATTTTCCAGTTACATTAAAATAAGTATTAACAGTGCATTATGCTTTCCAATTCCATTGCCTGATGCCTAACATTTAATCAAGTTATATACTGTTTAGATTAATTTTTCTTCTCTCTGAAACCTGGATTATCTCAAACAAAAGAAAAATTAAATCAACATTGTGGGTTTACATATAGAAAATAATAAAATTTCTTAAAATTATGAATGGATGAAATTTTATAGAACTGGAATGGAAGTGTTTGGTCCCACACCAAAAAGTTCCTTGGTTTAAAATTATATTATAGTGTCATTTTGCATTAGTGTTTCTCTCCCAGGTTTTATACATAATGGCAAAGTAGTTTTCCCCTAATGTCAAAATTTTTGAGTTTGGGGGAAATAAAGAATAGAAGGGATTTACAAATAGTAGCCTTGTTGCTATTCATTATCATGCTGACACTCATACTGTCATTAGTATCTTAGTTAGACTTCCTTTGGACCCTGAAATAAATTGGAAAATTGCATCATTGGTTCTTTAGAGTTTAACACTTGAAAAGTGGTTTTGTGCAACCATATCTGGAATTCCAGTTTGCCATGAAAAGCATGCAGAGTGGAGAAGATTTTCTTCTTTAGATTCCTTTACATAAGTGAGGAACTCTACACAAGTTCTTTATGTTTTGGCAAATTTGTGCATATATTGTAGGCTTGTGACTTATAAATTGTCACCTGGCTGGTACTGTGGTTCTGTAGCAGTAAAGTAGTCTTCTAAGAAGGACTGAATATATTCAAATGTTGGTCTTTCATCAGGGTCCTTCTTCCAACAAAGGTTCATCAGCTCGTGGAGAGATTCTGGACAGCCTTGAGGACAAGGCATTCTATATCCCCGTTCTACCTGTTCCAAGACTTCACGATTTACCATCCCTAGTACAAAAAAAATTTAAAGCAGCAAATAGTAGGATTAAGGTGGGGGGATGGGATAGAATGTGCTGTCAAGTATATTTGTTTGGGGGAAAGACTAATTTTAAAAATCCAACAAGGGGCAGCTAGGTGGTGGAGTGGATAGAGCACTGGCCCTGGATTCAGGAGGACCTGAGTTCAAATCCGACCTCAGATACATAACACTTACTAGCAAGTCACTGAACCCCACTGCCTAGCCTCCCCCCCCAAAAAAATCCAACAAAAGTGAAATATGGGCAAAAACATCTCCTAAATAAGCAAATCTCAGTGTACCAAGGCAAAAAAGTGAATTTTACTAACATGTTAACCTGTGCTATGACATTTTATTTTTTAATACTACTAAAAGTCATCATGAATTTAATATGAACAATTTCAAAGTTCTGTGACTATAAGTAACAATTTGGTTTATATTTTGAGAATACGAATATTTTTCAGTTAAGTCATAAATTTAACACTTACTGATAACCCAAACTTGAGACAGTGCAGTAGAGACAGTGTGGTGTAACAAAAAGATCGTTAGAATAGAAATCACAAGGACAGTTTATATTTCTGGTTCTGCCACTTCTGAACTTTGTGATTTTGGGTAAGTCAATTAAACTCAGCCTTAATTTCCTCATCGGCAAAATGATTAAAACAAAACAAAACAAAACAAAATCACTCTGTCTACTTCACAGGATATTATTGTGAATTTGAAAAGAAACAGTAATGTTCATGAAAATAATTTGAAACTATCACAGTAGATAGAGCACTAGGCCTGGAATCAGAAAGACTCCTCTTTATGAGCTCAAATCTGGCCTCAGACACTTAGTAGCTGTGGGCAAATCACTTCATCCTGTTTGCCTCAGTTTTATCTGTAAAATGAGCTACAGAAGGAAATGCCAAACCACTCCAGTAGCTTTGCCGAGAATACCCCAAATGGGGTCACAAAGAGTCAGACACAACTGAAATGACTGAACAACAAACAGTATTACATAAACATGAAAATTACATATATTTAATGAAATTCTGCCAAACTCTTAATGATTCTAATTTCAAGAAATGATGACTAATATTCTAATTTTTCTGCTCATTTAAATTTAAGGCATCACATAGTAGAATTGAGGCAGGTGGAATGTTGCTAAGTATCTTTTTTTAGGAAGCCAGTATCCTAAAGGTTCATACTAGGGCTAAATACTGTTTTGATTGTTGAAACCTCACAAGATATCTTGGAGTCTGGGGGACAGATTTTTTCTTTTCTCTTTCCTACTTATTTATTCTATCACTTTTTAAAAACTGGGACAATTAACTCTTCTCTTCCAGCTCTGGAAAACCAGGCTTTGATAAAACCCATTCTGATACAAATGGAACTATTAGACCATGCTTTAAACCTAAATCACTCCAGTTCTCACAAACTGGCTAATAACAGGTCCCAGCCCAAGCCTCCCTTGGTTATTAGGTTTTGATGGCTCAAAGCAACTGTTTCTGTTCTGGCCAGAAACCCTGAGGGTGTTCACCCTCCCAGTTTGATTTTTTTGAGTAAGCAAACTAGGCCATCTTTTGCTTCCTTTCTTACCTAGCCTTAAATCACTGAATGAGTATTGCCTCAGACAAACTGAGATCTGGGAAAGACCTTAACTTAAAAAGGCCAAGGTCTCCCACTGCATCTGAGGTCATCTCCAGTCGATCTGACTTATGTCCTGCCATTGGACTCAGATGATACTGGAAGACAGAATGAGGCTGATGACTTGCACAGCCCTGCCTCACTTAAATCCAATTCACTTGCAAGTCAATAAATCATGCTCTTGATGTCACCGGTTCTCTTCCAGAATGGAGGACAAACAACAACAAACAATTCTATCAAATGAGATAATATTTGTAAAAACATTTAGCACAGTGCCTAGCGGCAGCAGGTGCTTAATAAACGCTTGTTTTTGTCCTCCCCTCCAACTCAAAAGATCCTCTAATCCAAACCACAGCAGAAACATGAATCTTATCCATATCCATCCCTCAATTGAGATGATAGTCTATGATAGGAAACCCATTATTCTTCCAAGGCAGTCCATTTTTTTTTCAGTCACGATTTTAAAAACTTAACACTAAAAGATCACAAGGGCTATGAGTTTGATTAAAGTTGGCTTGTGCCATTAACTGACTGATTTTTTATCACAAGTGCCATTATTTATAAAGGATGCCTATTACTTCTACCAGAAAACAATGCATACTGAAATATTTCAGGGGATACTTCCTACAGAGATGAAAACAGGTTATGGCTCCTCTATGTCTTAGTCTTAGTACAGAGTTTCATGAGCCATCATTGGATAACTATCTTTTTAGTGACTTAACTCTCTATACTTAGCTAGATTGGTCCTTAGACAAAAGAACAAGTCATCTTGCTTATATACTTTGGTTTGGTAGGATATTCTAGAGTTTATACTTCTCACTGGCAACTGGCATGTTGTTATTCAGTTGTTTCAGTCATGTCTAACTCTTTGTGACCCCATTTGGTGTTTTTTTGGCAAAGATACTGGAGTGGCTTGCCATTTTCTTCTCCAGCTCATTTTACAGATGAGGAAACTGAGGCTAATAGTGACTTGCCCAGGGTCACACAGCTATTAAGTGTCAGAGGACAGATTTGAGCTTAGGAAGATGAATCTTCCTGACTCCAGGTCCAATATTCCATCCACTGTACTACCTAGCTGCTCTATTCTTACTGGCACAGCATTTTAAGAATTCAGGGTCACCTCTATGCCATGACAAAGCACCAGAGTAGGATTTTAGTAGAGGAGTAGAATTTATATAGCTGAAATAAAATTGTTTAAAATGACCAAATGTTTAGCATTTTATAACATGAAGCAGTATTACTTTCCATTTTTAAAATTTTAATTTTTAATTAATTTTTTCTTTCAGTTAACAAGCACTTATTTTTTCTCCTGCCCACTTCTCCCATTGAAAAAGAAAACCCCATACCAAACATGCATAGTTAAACAAAACAAATTTCGGTTAGTCATGTTCAAAATTGAATGCTTTCATTCTGTAGATTGAGTCCATCACCTTTTTAAAAAGTTTATCATTTCTTATTTCCCAGTTCTCTCAAGTCATTTTTCAAACTCCCAGGTTTGAAAATAATTATCTTCTAAAAGTATAACTATCTAACTAGGAAAAACATGAATAAGATCGGCTGCCTTGGGGCAGCAAGTTCCTTTTCAGGGAATGTCTTTAAGCAAAGTTAGGATGAACAATTTTGAGGAATGCTGTAGGCTTTATTGACTTCAAAATAAGATCCCATTATCCTCTTTTCTGAATAGAAATTAACTTGTTTTCTTTTAGTTATAAACAAGAAAGCTATAGGATACAATATCTATACTTAAAATCCCATAGTAAAATTTTAAAATACTTTAACAAGTTCCTGCAATCTCTACCTATTTATATTATCTAAAATAATGATTTACTTTAAATACTAGGCTCAGAAAGCATATAAACCTTTACATTAAAATATTTCTATGGGTATTATGTTAATGGCTCTACTTCATTTATTTAAAGGACTTCTAGGATGTTAAATATCAAAGACAAAAATATTTATTAAAATTTTCTTACTAAAGAAAATTTATTACAGTCTAATTCCTTAAAAATTGGCAACCCATGAAGTAGACATGTATAGTAACTTTATCAACTACATTATCTGATTTAGGGCAAGTGTCCCAGTGTTTAACCATTTATATAGTTTATTGGCATTTGTGTGATTACTGAAAGTCTGTAACAGGATACTTCAAGGATCTGTATTTTGTTGGTGTGGATATTCCCTCTACAGAAAAAGATCCCACAGCTCTGTAACTCAGTAGATAATGTTTAAGAGGTGCTGTAGCTAAAATTTATCATTCTGTGACCAACAGACCCAGATTCAAATACAACAGATACTGTATTTGAAGACTTTCAGTGTAACTGGACCAGCCAAAGCTTGTTCACTCCATTAGCATATCTTTGAGAAACCAGATCATCTCCTAACCATGATAAGGCAATAGAGCAGGAGCAGAGATTTAAAAATGAATCCAGTTAATTCATGAGACTATTAAATTTTAATTAGCAAAGAGGAGTGTGAGAGTTTTCTAGTTACTTGCTAGGAATGTCTGATATATAGACTATCTTTCTGTAACCTCACATAAATACTTGGATAAAACAAACATAACTTTTGAGATTTTCTGTTAGTAAATATGCCATTGATTGAACTGTATGTTTTGCTAGTGGCATTTTCTAATTCAGTGTTGAAACTAAAGCAATAAGAATCATTCTTGAAGTTGAAAGAGAAGAAGGCATCTAATAAGACCTGAGACTGTATGGGCCTCTGTTTTTAAAAATGACAAATGTCACTTAGAATCTTGGTAAAATTTTATAGCATTTTTCATTTCATGGATGGGGATGGTAGAGTACTGAATAGGTAAATTACATGTACATCCAATGAGAGTATTAGGATTAGCATCAAGAAGGCCCGACTTTGAATCTGGTTTCAGATACTTACTAGCTGTGAGACAACGGGCAAGTTACTTAACCTCTGTTTGCCTCAGTTTCCTCTATTATAAAACAGAGATAATTATAGCACCTACCTCTCAGGGTTGTACAAGTGTTTAGCATAGTGGTAGGCATATAGTTGGTGCTATATAAATATATAAAGAGATATAAATAAATGCTTATGCCTTTCTCCCTTTTCACTTCATTTCTTGTTAGATGGAACATAGAAAGGGTATACTAGATTAAAAACATACAAATAGAAGAGATGATACAGGAGTTGATTAGATGCTGAAATGGGTAAGAGACATTGTGGAAAAGATGTCGAAGCAGAAAAATTATGTTTCTATAAGGAGGTAAAACAGGAAGAGAAAGGAGAAAAGATATGAGAAAACTTTTATCAGGGACCAGGAGTTTGGGTAAGGGATGAAGAGAAAATAGAAAAGGGGTGTTAGTCACTCTGAAACATTGCCTTTACTTAGTATTTAGTTCTTTCAGTTCTTTTGCAGTAACATTATAGAGTTTCACCCGTTGCCTTTGTTCAGAGGGGAAAAGACTTGGTTTTTCTCTCATTAGTCACTATCAAGTTTTTGAAAATATAGCACGTCAATGAAGTTTTCCAAGAGAAAAGAAAACTCAAGCAATCAAATGAACAAGGATTTATTAAGTTCTTACTATCTATTAGGCATTACGCCTAATACATAGTTGATGCTTGCATTCTACTGCAGAAGGATAACATGTAGTACACATATAAGTCTATACAAAATATATATATATAAAACATGAAAAATAAAATAAAATGAAATAAATAAAGGCAATTTTGGGGAGGAAGGCATAACTACAGTAATTAGTAGAAGTTCTGATGTTGTGTTTGACTAGAGTTCTGAAGGGAACTAATAAGAGGAGAGAAATAGATGAAAAAGGACTGCATTCCAGATACAGAAGATAGCCTGTGCAAAGGGAGAAGAAATGTGTGTGAACAGCAAGGAGACCAGTTTGACTGGATCATAGAGTATGCGAAGTTGAGTAACAGCCAGGTTGTAAAGGGTCTTAAATGTCAAACAGAGGACTTCAAGACTAATCAATCTCATCTGACATTTTGTTTAGGACTAGGATTTCACCGGTGTGGGGAAATTCCTGGTATGGAAATTCCCTAAAGGGATACAGTATATAATAAAAAATAAACAATATATAAATTTAGTTTCTGTTAACTTTAATTATATATCTGCATAGCAATAATAATTATGGAACAACCAAGACTTTAAAAGCATGCTTACCTGGATATGGCACTCTGCCCTTTGTTACAAGCTCTGTCTGCAGAATTCCAAATGACCAAACATCAGATTTAATTGTAAAACGACCATATAATGCAGCTTCAGGAGCTGTCCACTTGATTGGAAATTTGGCACCTAAAATGAATAAAATCTTACTTAAAATTAATAAGCAAATATTGTTATATATTTGTACAAAAAGTATAAATTAATTCAACAAATATTTATTAACTATTGTTATATGTAATACAATGTGTTATATACTCAAAAGGATAGAAAGACAGAATCCTTGCCCTCAAAGAATTCATAATCTAGCCTGGAAAATAAGAAATGCACACAAATAACTATCATACAAAGTATTGTGATCAATTCCACAAAGGTGCTATAAATGCTTCAATAATTTGAAAGAAGAGGGTTACTTCTAATGGATGTGACCAGGAAATACTTCAGAAAGGAATTAACAACTGAGCTGAACTCAGAAAGACAGGCCAGCAGTGGAAGGTTGGTTAGGCAAATAAAGTGGTTAATTGCACAAATAAATGTCCAAAGGTGGGAAGGGCCTGTTTTGGGAATGGCAAGTGCTTCAATTTTGCTAATGTCCAGGGTACATTTATGAGAATAGGAGATTAAGCCTAGAAAAGTCATTTGGGAGCATGTGGAGAGGCCCCAAATGCCATGCTAAGGAGTTCACATTTTTTAAAAAAGTGCTCATGTACACAGACAGTACCCTCAAGGAGCTTACATTCTTTTTTCTTTTTTTTTTTTTTTAGTATCAAGAAAATTTATTACAGAGAAAGTCCAGAGGATTTAGACGTTTCTGGCCAGAAGCGGGCTCCACCCCTCTTCAGGAGGGGGTGGGCCCTGAGTGCAAGGGCAAGTGTGCTTTTATGCAGTTGAATTCAGCTCGAAACGTCTCAGGCCGGGATTGGTCCATCCCTTCCCAGGTTATACCTTTCCTTACATGTTTCCCCTTGATATGCTCAAGTATGTTCCCTGTCCCTTGGACATATATCCCATGACTCGTTAATGAGGCTCTCATTTTATGCAGGGTGTGTCAGATAACAGTAATGAAGCTCATTAAGCAGGCGCACTAACATTTTTTAGGTGTCCTCAGGTTGACCCTAACTGGTCTGAGCTGGCTTGACCCTTATCTTGATTTTGGGGTCTTTATGGAACCATCAGCTTACTTTTTATTGGCTAAGCCCAATCATGTACAATGTACTACTTCCTGGAGCTGTTGTTCTTTAAATCTCTGCATTATTCTACCTGTGGAAACTTAAGCCCTTCTGACTCTAACAATTCCCTCCTCTTCTTCTCAATAAGAATTATGTTTCCACACTTTTTGTTCCCGTTGTCTTTCCTCAAAGTGTTTTAACATTAGTTCAAATTCTTCATCAGAAGGAGAGGAATGATCATTAATTCTCTTAATCATGATCCTAATTCCACTTGATCCTGTTACCTGAATTCCCATAGCTGGTCCTATTGGGATACTTTTAGTTAGCGCTGTTTCTATTAACTTTTGCACTAGAAGGAGCTTACATTCTAATAAGGAAGATAACTCAAAACAAAGAAGCTGGAAAGAGAGGACAGAAGGGGCAATGATGGAGAAGGCCAGATGAATGCAGCTTGGTGAGAAATGAAGAGATGACTGACTGGCTATGTGCCCTCTTTAAATGAAGCTTCTGGAAAGCAATCTGGAACTAAGCCCAGAAAAGTTATCAAATGTGCATGGTCTTTGACCCAGAAATACTACTTCTAGGCTCTACCTCAGAGATTAAAGACAGAGGAAATGGACCCCTATCCACAAAAAATATTTATTACAGTTCTTTCTGTGGTTGCAATGTGGCTAAATAAATTCTGGTATATGAATGTAATGTAATACTACTTAACTGTAAGAAATTATGAAGGGGACATTTTCAGAGAAATTTGGGAATGCGTACAAATCAATGCAAACTAAAGTGAGCAAAATAGAAGAACAATTTGTACAGTAACAACAATGTAAAGAAAAAACTTTGAAAGACTATGGACTCTGATTAACATAATAAACAACAACTTGATTCCAGAAGATTCAGGATAAAACATGCTATCCACCTCCTGATGAGAGGTGATAGATACAAGAAGCAGATTGAGGCATATATTTTGTGAGACACACATATGTAGACACGATCATCACAGAACGTTTCCTTGACTATGTATATTTGTTACAACGGTTTTGTTTTTCTTTTGTTTTTCAAAGGGAGGAAGTGGGAGAGAAAATAGGTTTCAGTTAATTAAAAAAAAATAGAATTAAATTGAAATACATTAAAAAAAATCCTGATTATGCAGGGTTGAGGGGTAGGAGGTGATAAAGAAGATGACCAGCACTATTACCCTGTTTTCTGAATCAAGTCTGAGTCTCACTTCTGCTAATTATATGCTTGCAATAATTAAGCTTTTATTTAAAAAAAAATCCTTCACTAGCACTATATTGTCAACTGAATAAAGTTGAAGACCCTTACTTGGACATTTAAAGCCATCTACAATCGGTCACCACTCTTACCTTTTCAGCTGTATTTCATATTTATCTTTTACATATGCACCAAATTAGGCCATAGTTAAATTGGGTCATTCTCCATTCCCAATGTACATCCCATGCCATTCTCCAATGCCTTTATTCATGTTGCTTCCTAATTGTGGAATGCCTTTCTCCAAAATTACTTGTTGAAATCCCATCAACCCATTACTAATCAGCTCCAATGCCATCTCCACTGTACATTCTTCCCTAATTATCCCAGTCAGTAACAATTCCCTTTCCTCCAGAGTCCGGCAGCATTTGTGATTAACCTTCCTCCTATACTTACATATGTATATGTATCATAAGCTCCTATCAGATACAAGCTACATGAGGACAACTCCTCCAAAAACTAACACTGTACACTGCATATGGTAACTTAAAATAATAATTACAATATTTACATAGAACTTTAAGGCTTGAAAAGTCCTTTACACTTATTGGTTTCATTTGATGCTCATAATAAGCCTGAGAGGTAGGTACTATCATTATCCTCATTTTATAAATGGGGAAACAGAGGCTAAGATTTGCTCAGGTTCACACCTGTTAGTGACAGAAGCAGGATTCAAACTAGGGTCTGCCACTCAGCCCATTATGCCATCTGGCTTCCTCTAAGAAATAATACATAAAGCTTAATAAATACTGTAAAAGTTAAAACCCCTCTACATGCACAAGTAATCCTCTTCCATTCCATCTTCTCCAATAGACTGCTACCTCTCTTATCATCACGTTCTCACCTATCTTCAGTCTTATACTGCCTATTGATTTTTCTCTGTTGCCTATAAATGTTTATATATCTTCCATCCTCAAAAAATTTTCACTTGATGCATCCATCTCACTATGGATGCAAGGATGTTTCAACATTAGGGAAACAAACAACATAACTGATCTATTTAAAAACAAAAACTTTCAAAACCAGACAATTATCTCAGATAAAGAAAAAGCATCTGACACAGTGTAACACTCATTTATGCAAAAAAACAAATAAACCCAAAAACCAAAATAACCTCAAACAAACCAAAGCACAAAAAAAAACCTGACAAAGAATAATCACAAAGAAACTTTTTTAATATCATAAAAAGTATCTAATCTAAAAACCAAAGCAACATCACATGCAATGGCAATACACTAGAACCTTTGTCAATAAATATAGGAGTAAATGCAAGAATACCCACTCTCCTCACTACTATTTGATATGGTTCTGGAAATACTACCAATAGCAATAAAACAAAAGATAGGAATTAAAAATAAAGAGATAGGTAAAAAGGAGACAAAAGCTATCCTTATCTATTGATGACATGAAGGTTTCCTTAAAAAAAAAACCCTAAAGAATCACGAAAGTTAATAACTGAGACAAGAGCTTCAGCAAAGTGACATGCTACTATATAAACTCAAAACTCAAAAGCATTTCTATATAATACCAACAAAATCTAAAAGGCAATAACAGAAAAGAAATTTCTTTCCAAATAACTATAAAATGCACTAAATATTTGGGGAATCTATCTACCAAAACATATAAAATACTTGTAGAGATTCAACAGTGCTTATTGTTGAGCTGTGCCAATATACAAATGTTGACACTAAAGTTAATTTACAATTTTAATGCTATACCAATCAAATTATGAAAAGTATAATTTACAGAACTTTGATAAAATAATAACAAAATTAATTTGGAAAAACAAAAGGTAAAGACTACCAAGGAAAATAGTGAAAAGAGATAGGTATAAAAGAAGGAAGAGAAGAAATAGTATTTCTAGGCCTCAAACTATATTATAGAACAATGCTTCTTAAACCGTGGATCACGATATAAATGAATGTGGGGGTCATGAAAAATTTGGCAACAATAAAAGATTTCTAAATGCACAATGACCAAAAATTAATTCAAAATCAAACATGTAATGAATCTGAGGTGTTTCTGGCACCACTTTCCTGTTTTGCATCGCGCAACTTCACTGCAGCCTTGGTTCTAAAAACATAATGTGCACTTTGCCCTGAGCATGCCATCATGCTCTGCAATGCCAACCAACACTTCCAGAAACACACTGGCTCAGATTCAAGTATACTGTACATTATGGATTGCAGTGTTTTTATTGTACATACAAAATCGTTAAAAGAATTGTGGTTTGGGAATAGGGCAGAATTTCCAAATATTTCTGAAATGGCCCTAACCATACCTCTGCCATTGCGTAGTATGTATTTATGCAAAGTACCATTCTCAGCATTGACAATTATAAATCAAAATATCGATCAACTCTGAAAAACATTGAAAATGTCCTATGTCCTGCAATATCAAATATTCTGCCAAGACTTAATTCTTTATGTAAAAATAAACACGTACATCCATCTCACTTGCACGTAAATTTGCTTTTGTATTTAATAAATGACAAAATTATATGTATACCAAAGAATTATTTTAAAATAAATTTCTTTATGATACATTATCAGTAAATATTTGATCTGCACATCTATTTTATATATCTATATACCCAGAGTTGCATAAAAATTTCTTGGGAGAAAAGGGATTGTGAGTGGAAAAAGTTTAAGAAGCCCTGTTATAGAACAGCAATCATCAAAACCATTTGGTACTGTTTAAAAAAAAAAAGAGTAATAGATGAATGGAACAGACTCAATAAACCAATGTTCGACAGACTAGAAAACATAAATTACTTAGGAAAAATTGCTGGGAAAACTACAAAGCAGTCTGGCCAAAATAAGACTTTCAGTCACACCTTACACCATATTACTCAATATAGTCTAAATGAATATATGACCTAAAAATTAAATGTCACAACATGAAAAAAATCAGAAAAAAAGCAGATCACGTACCTTTCATAGTTATAGGTAGGAAATTACGAAAGAAAAAAATAAGTAATTTTTTTTTAGGCAACTGGGGTTAAGTGACTTGCCCAGGGTCACCCAGCTAGTAAGTGTCAAGTGTTTGGTCTGAGGCCGGATTTGAACTCAGGTCCTCCTGACTTCTGGGCCGGTGCTCTATCCATTGCGCCACCTAGCTGCCCCCCAAAATAGGTAATATCACACAAAACTAAAAATCTTCTGTACAAATAATATTAAGGCACTTAGGAAAAGAAAGGAAGCTTCCTTTGGGAAACGAGAAAAAAACTTTGTATCAAATTTCTCTAAGGGTTTAGAATCTAAGAGATATAAACAATTAACACATAAACATATATATCGATATATGTATATATATGTATATGCCAGAAACCATTCCCTAAAAGACAAAGGACATGAACAGTTTCAAAAGAAGAAATTCAAACACTTAACAACCATAAGAAAGTACCCTCTAAATCACTCTAATAAAAGAAATGGAAATGACAACAGCTCTTGAGGTTTTACCTCATACTCTACAAATTGGCATAGATGACCAATGATAAGAACAGCCAATGGTGTGGAGGGGTTGTGGGAAGACAGGCACACTGGTTCCTTGATGGTGGAATTGTGAATCAGTACAACCATTTTGGAGAGGAATTGTGAATTATGCAAATAAAATAAATAAAATGTCCATACTCTGTGACTCAGACATTCCACTACTAGGTTTATACCTCAAGGAGAACACTGATAAGAAGTCTCCATAGAAACAAAAACATTTATAACAGCACCTTTTTTTTTTTGGCCTTTGGTGAGGTAGTCGGGGTTAAATGACTTACCCAGGGTCATACAGCTAGTTAAGTGTCATGTGCCTGAGGCCGAATTTGAACTGAGGTGCTCCTGACTCCAAGACCAGAGCTAATCCACTGCGCCACCTAGCTGCCCCCACATAACAGCACTTTTTGTAATACAGAATTGAAAACAAAGTAGACGCTACTGATTGTGGAATGGCTAAATAAACTGTGGCACTTGAAATGTAATGGAATATTACGGTATTGTAAAAAATGATGAATGCAGAAAAATATCTACATCAAATGATGCAGACTGAAATATGCAGAGCCAAGAAAATAATATACACAATGACAACAAATTAAATATTAAGAACAAATTAAAAAATCAAAAGTGGATGTTACAAAATACATAGGATGATGTCCCCACCCTCATACGGCTGTAGAGACCTTTAATGAGACTTCTGAAATTAGCCAATTTTGCTGATTTTTTCCTCATCATCTTTTTATCTTTAAAAGTTTCATTTTTTAAATAAGGGGTGGCTTTCCTAGGAATGTGGAGGTGAAGAGATACTAAGGGAACTACTGGTGATACAAAAAACATAAGATAAAGAAATACATATTAAAAAAATAGCGTTGCAAGGTTACAAAGAACAACACGGCTCCAAAACAGAGATATGAGAAGATACCCCTCCTCCTGATTCCTTTTCAGGGCAGAGAGATCCACAGGTACGGGACTTTACACACACACACACACACACACACACACACACACACACACACACACGTGTGTGTGTGTGTGTGTGTGTGTATATATATATATATATATATATATATATATATATATATATATATATATATATATATATATATATATATATATATATATATATATATATTTCCCTTCAGATTTTAAAAACGTATTAATCAGTTTGGTTTACTTTTTTCTCTTCCTCCCACTTTAAAAAAAATTCTTTATGCTTTCTGGGAGAGGAAGGAAGAAATATAGGAGAAATTTAAGCAATGTAAAAACAAGAGCTATCTTTAAATTTATTTAAAAAAAAAACAAAAATGAGGATGAATACAGATAACAAAAGTTACAAAATTACAAAGAACAAAATTAGCCCCAAAAAGGAGATATATAAAAAAACAATTCCCATTCTTCTGCAGAACTGAAGGGTAGTAAGTCAGTTCATGGGTGTAGAACACAGAATAAAATGTCAGACTTTCTGGATTTAGTGATGTTTTGTCAATTTTTTCCCTCTTTTTCCTTATTCATGAAAGGTAATTCCTGCTTTACATTTACATACATATTTGTGTCTAATGGTAGCCATCTTTAGGGCAGGAGGAGTAGGAAAGGACAGGAGGAAAGTAACATAATTTTATTTCGTATTTAAAAGGAAAAGCACGCTGTACATAATAGATTTGCAATTTCATGTGCAATCTTTTTTTTCCTATTCTACTTTGTTATGGAATGTTTGTTTTATTTCTTAAGTTCAGAAAAAAAAGTAATTCTTTGTTATAAAAGATGCTTCTCTGGGAGAGAGAAGATAGGGGTAAATCAGATGGATATTTAGGTAATATTAAAAAAAAAGAAATCAATAAAAAAAATTTTAAGAGAGGTTACTCATGACTTTAGAAATAACTGCTCCATAGAAATATCTTTGCTACACAAATCACTTCTACCTGTATTTTGCTTACATGTTCAATACAAAATCATTCTAAAATAAGGTAAACATTTAACAAATATTTTATCTTTAGGCAGCTAGATGGCTCATTGGATGAGTGCTGGGCCTGGAGTCAGGAAGACCTGAGTTCAAATGTGGCTTCAGACACTTAATAACTGTATAACCTTGGGCAAGTCACTTAACCCTGCCTCAGTTCCTCATCTGTAAAATGAACTGGAGAAATGGCAACCCACTCTAGTATCTTTGTCAAAAAAACTCCATATGGCATCATGAAGAGTCTGATATGACTGAAGAACAACAAAAACAGTTTTACCTTGCCTTGCAGTGTATTCATTGTCTTCAATTAGCCTTGCTAATCCAAAATCTGCTATTTTACAAACAAGATTATCTCCTACAAGGATGTTAGCTGCTCGAAGATCTCGGTGGATGTAGTTCATTCTTTCAATATATGCCATACCATCAGCAATCTTGAGAAGAAACCCAAACAGAACAATTTAAGAGACTTTACTTTAGATACAAGTTAGATAACTGTCAAAATGACATGCTTTGCAAGGTTAGAAATGCAAATTGCTGTTAACACGCATTTTTAACAGATAAAGGGAGAAATACCAGTTTAATGATAATGAAATCAGGTTAACATTGAGGAAAAAAATGAGGGTTGGATTTGGCATAGTGAGTTTTTGCTCACCTCTCGACTTATGAAAATACTATACTGGTTCTATGATCCTAACATTTCTAGCAGTCATTTGACTATATCAGCATTATTCCAGGAGAGTGGAGAATAGGAATTTGAAAGGGTATTGGTATGGAGGTTCATCAGTCCATTCCAGGCTAAGACTTTTAAGTAAACTAATATATCTAATTATCATACACATTCATAAGCACTGCCAATGAAGATAAACTATCACCACCACCACAAAGAACTGCAGATTTCACACAGCCCAACATGAATCCATGGAAGGGGCATACCAAGCACGTGCTTTAATCTGCGCTGGGAATATGTGTATGAAACAAGATGCTTCATGCATCTTCTAACTAGTAAGGACTACAAGAGTATTGGAATGGGTCCAGAATGCCTAAAGGCTTGGCTATGTGTCAGAAAGCTAACACACCAACACACCAATGAATATGAAATTCCTTGAGTTACCCTTCTATATTTAAGTACTTAATGAGGGATACCAGGCTCATAAAACAATTTTGTCCACATAAATCCAAAGATCAGGAACATCCCTAAATGCATATTGACTATGTTATTCAATCATTTTAGACTCAAAATTTATTACTATGGTTCTATATAATAAACCTTCCAAACACAAAGTCTTTTCTGTTAAGCCAAAAGAGAAGCAAATGAAAATACATATATATATATATGCTAAACTGCAGAATAATTCTCCATAAAAGTTCTGTTCTGTTGCATCATCATGAAGTGATTGTCCATGGGTTGTTGAAGGATTTGCCCACAGAGTGCAAGCTCTGGCAGACCATTTACCAAGCTAGAAAGACTTTGAATACGGGCCCCATAACACACTGTATGTCTGTTATTGAACGATAAGCCTGGATAAGTTTCCAGGGGCTAATCACCAGGTTGGTTACAGGGTGATGAATTTTTTGACTACAAGAATTCTAAGCAACCACCTCAGTCTATTCTTGTATCCCTAGAGCCAACCATAGTGCTTGGCATATATAGTTGGTATTTAATAACTGCCTGTTAATTGACTGGAGGAATTCTCATCTGTAGTAGTAAAGGGAAAGCCCACATTCACACTGACAAAAAAAATCACAGATCAGTAAAGTACATAAGATGGTACTATCTTAGGCTTGTTATATTGCTTTATAGTTTGAAAGTGCTTTGTAGCAGTAACAGACACATAAACTGTTATTGTAATTTCCTTTCACATACCTAATCTCATTTGATCTTCACAGAAACCCTCAATGGCAGGTATTATCATCTCTATTCTAAATAAGAATTCTAGGCTCAGAGAGATTAGGTGAGTTGTTCAAAGTTAAAAAGTTATTAAGTTGCAAAACTTGCCCTTGAACTCAAGTCTTCCATCTGTAAAACCAGTACTCATTTCCACTACACAATATTGCTCTCTTTAATGACTTATTAAGTTACTATTTTGAACTATGTCCAAATGTCAACGTCCAATACAGTTTATACATTGTCTATGATAAGTAAAGCAATCGTTCATTTTTTATTTCTTGTAATTTATCTGATGAAATTAAAGATTTCAAAATAGGAAAATTTAATGTCCATGGGATGTATTAAAATTTCATGGATAAGCAAGAAAAGTAGAGGCACAAATATATGACTACCAAAATGTAAATAAATTTAATAAGGAGATGTAATGAATCTGATAAAATACGATGTAAACACCACATTGCCAAAGCTAAAGGGCACATCTTTCCTTTCTTTTAATAACTGATAATCAAACTATCTTCTCTGGGAATTAATTTTAAAAATATATGTTGTTTGGGCATTTGCTAGGAAGCATCTCTAGTATCGAAACAAAATGTATCAAAAAATTTATGAATTTTTCTTTACAAGTACAGCAGTTCCCCAAATATAAATAATAAAACTTTGTTATTTAGATTTTTTTAAAAAGTAGACAATGATGTAGTAGAAAGCAAAAATGATTAGGAAAAAGAAAACTTGGGTTCCTGGTCCTAGCTCCGATACCAGTCAGCTATGTGACCTCAGACAAATCACTTAACCTCTCTGGACCTTAGTTTTCAAATGTATTGTAAAAAAAAAATTTTTTTTTTAGGCAATTGGAGTTAAGTGACTTGCCCAGGGTCACACAGCTAGTAAGTGTCAAGTGTCTGAGGCCGGATTTGAACTCAGGTCTTCCTGACTCCAAGGCCGGTGCTCTACCACTAAGCTACCCAGCTGCCTCTCTTAGTTTCTACCTACAAAATGAAGGAGTTGGACTAGGTAATATTCATGGTCTCTCTGCTCAATTCGATGATAAAAAACACTATACTTTCTAGGATTTGTCTTAATTTTTAGGTATTCTCAAGCCATTTATAGATATATATAGATATATATATATAGATATATATATATCTATCTATCTCTCTCTCTCTCTATATATATATATACACACACACACACACACACACACACATATAGATATACATAAAGAAGTACCTGTGCAGCCATATCAACCAGCTGTGGTAGCTTCAAATACTTTCCATCTCCTTCCTTAAGGAAATCTAATAAGCTTCCTGTAATAGAAACATTTTTTAAAAGAGAAGCAAAACAAAAAGGATAAATTACAAAACAATATTTTTGAGCTTTAACATCCTACCTCTTAATAACATTTTAGTATCAATTTTTAAAAATACTATCTTGAGATGTTTCAGAGAAAGTTCTTGAAACCTTCAAGATAATGTTTACCTTTCCCCACCTTCTTCCCTGGTTACTTCCATCTTGGAACTCCCACATCCCCCAATCCCTAAAGTGAGGGATGGGAAGGGAGAAAAAGGAAGAGGAACAAATACCACTTAGCAGACTTCCAACTGAAGTCAGTGTTTTCCAGCTTTCTTGTAATAATGTCCTACCCTAACCTATTCTAAAAGTTCTACATGACATTTTAGACTTTTCTTTTTTAAAGTAATTTGTTTTTATACCATCTTAATGTCCCAATAAATATATTTTTCTTCCCACACCCAAATAACCATATTTTATAACAAAGAAGAGAAGGTAAGAAGTTCAGCAGAACTAACACATCAACTGGGTCTGAGTATTCAAAGAATATGTCTGGAGCTGAGAGATGGAGTGTTTTGTTCATGGATCATCCAGGAGGCCAGTGTGTCACTGGATTGAAGACTATGTGATCTAGGGAGTAAAATTTGGGTTAAGCATTTGGTCAAAGTCTCTGTCATCTTTGGCTTCTGCAAAACTCCCCTCCAAATTCCCATTTAATTTCTTATGCTGACCCACGATACATCAAAACTGCAACAGGGAAAGGATAACTGTGCTTAACTAAATTCTTGTTGCATTAAATTGAATTTAGAAAATATCTACAAACAGATAATTAACAGTATCAAAAGATATTAAGATAGCTAGAAAGATGAAGACTGAAAGAGGCTATCAAATTTTGCCATTGCTGGCCTTAGCCATACTTAATCATTCTTATCAAAGGCTTAACCAGGTTCTAAAGAGATCTATTCAGCAGAGAAGCAGCTAGGTGTCACAATGAATAGAGCACCAGACTTTACCCTTCCTGACCAGGAGTCTGGAAGGCTGCTCTTTGTGAGTTCAAATCTGGCCTCAGATACTAAACTTGCTGTGTGACTCTGGGCAAGTCACTTAACCCTGTTTGCCTCAGTTTCCTCATCTGTCAAATGAGGTGAAGAAGAAAATGGCAAACCATTCCAATATCTTTGCTAAGAAAACCCTAAATGGGGTCACAAAGAGTTGGATAGGTGAAAACACTAGATCATCCAGCAGACGAAGAGCTCCTCCTTGAAATATCAGGGCAATGATCAGATAGAGGAAGAAAAAGTATTTTATTAAATTCAGCTAATAGAAGTATCTCTAGAGTTCATGTTTGACCAGGTGGAAAGGAGAATCCTGGGAGACAATAATGAGAGAGATTGAATGGTTTTGGGAAAGATGATTCTTCAGAGTGTGCAGACATTTAAAGTGACTGCAGCTGTATCTGATGAAGTAAAACATTAACTAAACTTCCACAGGAATTCTATAACTATGTTTTATCTTATTATCTGGAATCAAAATCAAGGTCAAAAGGATATTTGCTGAATTCTAGCCCTAGGACTTCAATGACCTTTCAGAAATCACTGACAATAGGAGGTTAAGTACTTACCTTGTGGTATAGTTTGACAAACTCTTCAGTGGCAGCTAAGTACTTTCTTACTATCTTGGGTCTCCTTATATTGGCAGCTAGGTAGTTCAGTGTCCAGAGTGCTGGACCCAGAGCTAGGAAGATTGGAATTCAAATCTGACCTCAGATGCTACCCAAGTTGTGTAACCTTGGGTAAGTCACTTAACCTGTGTCTGCTTCAGTTTTCTCATCTATAAAACAGGGAGTTATGATAGCACCATTTACTGCCCCAATAGATAAGTAGTGGAAAGATATGAACCAGCAGTTTTCAAAAAAAAAAAAAGAAATCTAAGCTATCAATAAGCATATGAAAAAATACTCTAAATCACTAATAATCAGAAAAATGCAAGCTAAAGCAACTTTTGAGGTTCTACCTCATATCTGCAAAACTGAAAAAGATGACAAAAGAGGAAAATGATAAATGTTGGAGGGTCTGTGGGAAAACAAATGGTCTGGATATTCTGTAAAACAATTTGCAACTATGCACAGAAAGTTATGAAACTGTACATACTCTTTCATCCAACTTTCCTACCAGGCCTATATCTGAAAGAAATCAAAGAAAGAACAAAAGGATCTATATGTACAAAAATATTTATAGCAGCTCTTTTCATCTTTTCGTTGCAAAATACCCTTCATTCTGCTGCAAAATTATTTTCCTAAAGCACAGGTCCAATCCTGTCACCCTCCTACCCAATGAACTCCAGTGGCTCCTTATTGCCTATAAAATCAAATACAAAATGCTCTGCGCTTGCCTTTTCCCCTTCCAGTTTTCTTACACCTTACTCCCTACCTACATACTATTCGATCCAGTGACACACTGGCCTCCTGGCTGATCCATGAACAAAACACTCCATCTCTCAGCTCCAGACATATTATCTGAATGTGTCCCCATGCCTGGAATGTTCCTCCTCAAAATTCCAACTACTGACCCCCCTGGCTTCCTTAGGTCCCAACTAAAATCCCACCTCCTATATGAAGCCTTAATCAACAACCTCTCTTAATTCCAGTGCCTTCCCTCTGTTAATTATTTATCCTGTATAGAGCTTACTTATATATATTTGTTTGCATGTCATCTCCTCCATTAGACTAAAAGCTCCTTTAAGGCATGTACTATTGTTTGCCTCATTGTTATCCCCAGAACACAGCACAGGTCTGTCACATAACAGGTTCTTAATAAATACTGATTGATTAATTCATAGCCGGATATTGAAAATTAAGGAGGGGAAGGTCCTCCTATTGGGGAAAGGCTAAAAGAATTGTAGTAAATGCCATGAGAAATGATGAAGTGGGTAATTTCAGAGGAAACTGAAAAGAACATTATGAACTGATACAGAGCAAAGTGAGAAATGTTAGAACAATTAAATTACAAAAACATTATAGCAAAAAATAATTTTAAGAGTCTTTACAACTTTAATCAAGGCAATGATAAACCATGAGTCCAAAAGAATGAAAAAATATGCCACATACCTGATAGGGAATGAATTTAAAATGCAAAAAGATACATATATTTTTGCACATGGCTAGTGTGGGAATTTGTTTTGCCAGACTATGTAGTTACATACTGAATTATCTGGTTTTTGTTTTAATTCACATGGGGGGAAGGGAGAGGAGGTAGGGAACAGGTAGTGGGTGGGTAGATGCATTTAAAAATACTAAAAACAAACAATTAAAAAAAAATCAACAAAAAAACTAGGTTCTGTTTCTCAGTTTCTGTTGACTCATTCCCACTTCTATCTCTACTCCCTCTTCTTCTCCCCTCCTCCTCCAAAAGCCTTAGTCTGGACATCTCTCTCACAGAAATCTAGGGCAGAGTCATTCTGGTGAAAAGTCAGATCAATTCCTTGGGGATTAATGGAGTTCTTCTGGGTAGAAGGAGAGAGAAGGTGGGTAGCAACTCTAGGAATTTACTCAGCTTTCTCCTATCACTACCTGTTCTTATTAAAGACATTTCTCTATATCCACATTACAGTATAAAATGAGAAGCAAGGTCTGAGTTAGATATGGGTAGGAGGGGTGTCATATATATATATAAAGAGAAGTAGGGTTCCAACTATCATGATGATGAGGCAGCCATTTGTATATTGGGATGTTTCCAAGTTGGATGTACTTAAATCAAGGACCACCTGTACATTTCACTGGTTTATTCCTTGGCTTGTTTTGGACCCAATTTGATTTATCATAGGCTCTAAACATGAGTATTTTTCTCTTGCTGCTTTAATTTTTATTTCTTATGGTGCCTTTTTAATCACCTTATTTTTCTATTTATTCCATTCCTATAGTCAGATATACCCCATTCAAAACTTTTACTTTTTGTCCATACTTTTCCAAATAACTGGTAAAAATCTCTCACACTTTCCCATTAGAAAAACCACAAAATTTCACATGCTTATATTTTAAAAAAATCTGCTTTGTTGAAAATATCTTTTTAGAAATATAACAGGACAAAAAATCTTATACATATGAATAATTATTCCAAAATAGTCTTTAAAAAACATTTTTAATGACATGAATACCTTCATGTCTACTCATCTATTCATGAACACATACCTTTTGACATAAATTCAGTGACAATATAAATTGGTTCCTCAGAAACAACAGCATATAGTGGAACAAGTTTATCATGTCTTAGTTTCTTCATGATCTGAGCTTCTTGAAGAAAAGCTTCCGGCATCATTGTACCAGGCTTTAGTGTTTTGATTGCTACTTTTGTGGTTCCATTCCATGTTCCTAGGGAAACAACAACTTCTGTTATTTTGGCTAGTTTTGGAGGATTTTCAACTGAAGCCATCTGTGCCAAATTTCAAGTTTCACGGTAAAAACAAGAGCAAAAGTCAAATTGAGGCAGATAAAACAAGTAACAGCTACAAATTTTATAGAACATGAATCTTATTGAGATGCTTGGAATCTGGAAGAAAAAAAAAAGGATAAGTATGGGGATGTTACCAATTATGCAAAAGATTGGCTATCACATAACAGACTGACTATCCCAACTTACAAGGCTGTTGAAATGGAAAGAATGTCTTTAAGATGTGTTATTAAAAACTGTACTCCTCCACTCAAATCTTACCCCAATGCCTATCTTGGGTGTTCTCAGAAACACTCTGGGTTCTCAAAGACCACGATAGCAGAGAACAAGCTCTGGCAGGATCTTCCAAGCTGGAAAAGGCTCAACAATAAGCCCACTAAGGGATGCTTATTATCTAAGGGCACTAAGTCCTCAGAAAATCTTATCATCTAGTTGGCTTTCATATAATAAATCTTGGTCACAGGACTGTTTAGAGAACATCTATTAAGTTACAGAGGGATGGTGATCTGTGTTAGTGGAAGAGATACACTGACAAAAATTATAGCTGCCTGACAAACTGATTCATTCCAAATATCTGGATTCTTCACAGGATTCTGAAATCCAAGACGCTGATTCTATGCTACAATACATTCCTACTCCCACGATGTTACTCTTATTTTCTTCTTTAGCAAATATTTCAAACCATAGGCAGCTGGTGGAACAGTGGATAAAACACTGGGCCTGGAGTCAAGAAGACCTGAGTTCAAATCTAGACTCAGATACTTGCTAACTGGGTGACCTTGGACTAGTCACCTAACCACTGTTTGCTTTTGTTTCCTCATCTGTAAAAGGAGGATAGTAATAGCACCTACCTCCCATAGTTCTTGAGCAGATTAAATGAAATAATTACTGTAGAGCATTTAGCACAGTGCCTGGTACGCGGTAAGTGCTATATAAATGTTAGCTATTGTTGTTAGTTATGACTAGCCAGAGAATTTCATACCTTTATCTTTCCTAGTGCTGAAAAAACATTCTCCTGCTGATGTTGGCAGTTCTGACATTAGCTAGAGCTCTTAATTTATACATATGCCAAATCACTATGAATCATTCATTACCTTTAGTCCACTAAAGTTTTCAATATTAATGTTAAAATTATCTTTCAATTGTAATATTTTAGTTCATATCTACATATCTCAAATAAAATAATATAACTGGGTGATTCAGTATCAGTGGCAAGAGATTCCATTTGGAGGAATCACCCTCACCAAGGAAACCACAGGTCTGGAGCAAAAGATTTTTTAAAAGTCACTGCTTCTTACCCATCCATACTTCACCAAAACATCCTTGGCCCAGCTTAACTTCTAGACGTAAAGATTCTCGAGGAATTTCCCAAGCATCTTTTGCCAAACCTTGTGTCTGAGGTTTCACAGTTGGACACACAGTTGTTAACTTATGGCATAAGCCATCAGCATGTTCTGGAGAATTAAATATAAGTGCACTTGAAATTTCGTTACTTAGAAAAATTAAGTTGTATCCAATAAATTTTCTTTATCAGATGAAGTAATATTTATAAAAGCAATGAACACAGAGGCCAGAACACAGTAAGCACTAAAAAAAATTCTTATTTTCTTTTCTAATAAAAATTTTAAATAACAAAACTCATATAAACATACAAACAACACAATGCTAAACTTACTCAGAAACATCTATAAAAAAAGGTGGGTCAATTGATCAACAAGTATTTCTTAAGTGCATGCACACTACATGCTAGGCACTGAGGACATAAGTGAAAAAACGAAACAGTACCTACTCACAATGAGCCTACATTTTAGTGGATGAGACAAGTACATAAAAAACCATACACAGCATAAATATAAAGTGAATAAAAATAAATCCATGAAAGTAGTTAAATACTTAAGAGGGAAGGAGGACACTAGCAGCTGGGGACATCAGGAAAAGTTTCATACATATGGTGCTTGAGCTATGTCTTAAAGGAAGAAAGAAATCTATGAAGCTGAAAGTAAGAACGTAGTATACTCCAACATGGCAGATAGCCAGTGTAGTTATAGCTAGATGTAGCTATATATGAGGTACAGAAAGATGGCCGATGTGGCTGGATCTCAAAGTGTAGGAGAGTAGTGATGTCCAATAAGGCTCAAAAGAGGCTGGGACCAGGTTATATAGCTTTCAAAAGCTAAACAGGAGGTTTTTTAAAATTATTATTTTTTTTATAGAGGAGGGGTTCTTAACTTTTTTTACGTCATGGACACCTTCGGCAGTTTGGTGAAGCTAATGGATCACTTCTCAGAATATTGTTTTTAAATGCATAACGCACATAGGATTACAAAGGTAAAAAATTATATTGAGATATAGTTAGCATAAAAAATATATAGTTTGCAAAGTGTTTAAAAAACAAAAACAAAAACAAGTTCATAGATTCCAGGATAAGGACCCTTGTCCTAGAGGCAAAAGAAAGCCAGTGAAGTTGAATGAATAGGAGAGTCTCAAGGTCAGATCTGTGCTGAAGGAAAATTACTTTCGCAGCAGTGTATATGAGGGACACTGGTGTTGAGAGCCTTAAGGAATGGAGACTAATTAAGACCTGACTTAAAGCAGTACCTGTGTATATGAAGAGGAGTCAGATGCAAGAGATGAGGTGAGGAGTCCAGGAAAATGCTAAGATCAAAAACCTGGAAGACTGGAAGGATGCTGGTATCTTTCAATCTTCAACAGAAGTTTAGAAGACTGAAAGGTTTAGAAGGAAAGATGAGTTCAGTTTTAGACACATGAGTGTCGAATGCAATTATTGATAACGGACCTAGATGTAGGTACAGACTAGGGCTATATATGTAGATCTGGGATTCATTTGTAAAGACATGACAGACTAGGAGCTGATGAGGTCATCATGAGAGTAGAAATCCTAAGACAGAATTTTGGGGAAACATCTACAGTTAAGAGGTATGATGTAGACAATGAGATAGAAAAGGAATATGAGAAGAAAGAGTCAGACAAGTAAGGAAACGAATCAGAAAAAAGTAGTGACAAGAACACAGTACAATCAGTATCAAATGTAGCAGATTAGTTAAAAAACATGAAAACTGAGAAAAGACCATTAGATTTGACACTGAAGTCACTGTTACTAATTTTGAAGAAAGCATTTAGTAACGTGATGATATAGGAAGTGAGTGACATACAAAGAATGGAGAAATAAGTGAGAAAAAAGGAAGGAGAAACAGCAAAGGTGGACAATTTTTCAAGGAGTCTGGCTGAGAAAGGGAAGAGAGCTATACGATGAGGGGATGGTACGGCTTAGAGAGGCTTTTTGCAAATGGAAAAGATTGGGGCAGCTAGAGGGTGCAGTGGATAGAGCACCAGCCTTAGAGTCAGGAGGACCTAAGTTCAAATCCAGCCTCAGACACTTGACACTTACTAGTTGTGTGACTCTGGGCAAGTTACTTAATTGCCTCACCAAAAAAACAAAAAAACCCCAAACAAACAAAAAAGAAGATTTAGGCCTGTTTGAAGGCAGTAAAGAACCATCTGATAAGGAGAAGTTGAAGATCTGAAAGGAGGTGTGATTAAGTATAAAATCTGCCAGAGGAGATGCAAGGGATCAAGTGTAAGTGTAGAAGAGTTGGCCTTGGCAAGGAGAAGGGCTAATTCTTTGTCAGACATCAGCAGAAAGAAGGACAGAATGGCAGATTATGATAGAGAGAATGGTAGCTAACATCAAACGGCCTCAATTTTTTCAGTGATGTAAAAGGGAAGGTGCTGAGGAGAGGAGGGAAAGATGTGGGAGACTTAAAGAGGAAAGAGAAGGTCTGTAATAGCTTCTGTGGAGAGTGAGGTAGGGAATCAATTAGGGACTAATAATAAAAGGACTGCCTTGCTTCAGTGAGAACCCAGCTGAGGAAGCATATTGAAGACACATTACTAATCTTACGTTTTAAAATTTATGATATTTAAGTAGCTACACTTAACTTTAAAATATTCACCTACCTGTGTAGTGTTTGACTAGTTTCTGCAAAGTATCAAATTGTGCTCTGGTTGTGATATAGTATCCACCATTGTCAAGTTTCCTAATTTTGTAGTGTTTCACATTATCACCCCTTATCTCATCCCAATCACGAATAGAAAGGGAAAAAGCACCTAGAAAAATGAATCGTTTTATTGTATCTTTCTTAAAATACAATTATGGAAAGCATTTACTATTTCAGCTATAGAAATACATCAATTTAACAAGGACCATACCTTTGGTGGTTTCACTTTCTCTTACTAAGAAAATACCTCGCTGGTTTCCAGGATTTAAAAGCAGTCTCTCAGCATCTTTTCTGCCCATTTTGCCAAAATACCATCTGGAGGGGAAATGATGTGTTAGGATGTAAAGATGGAATCAAGGATAGGAAAATTACAAAGACGCAACAGGGAAAAAAAATCAATGATAGTAAGGTATTTGGTTGGAAAAAAAGAATTCAGGTAGCTGAAAATATCATAAGAAAAGCTAAAGAATTAAATACAGAAAGTGATTTAAAATTTTTTCATGTAAATTTTTGGCACAGGTGAAAATACTTAAAATTATTTTATAGCCAACTCTCTGGGTTTTTTGTTGTTATTCAGTTGTTTCGACTATGTCCTACTCTTTGTGACCCCATTTGGGGTTTTCTTGGCAAAGATACTGCTATTTCCTTCTCTAGCTCATTTTATAGACGAGGAAACTGAGGCACACAGGGTTAAGTGATTTGCTCAGGGTCACACAGCTATCTGAGGCCAGATTTGAACTCAAGGAGATGAGTCTTCCTGACTCCAGGACTGGCACTCCACCCACTGTCCCATGTAGCTGCCTCCTACTCTAGGACAGTGCTATTCAAAGGATGTGCTGAGGGATGTTTAGTAAGGCATACTGCAAACTCCATGGAACCTACACTTGCAAATGCATGTGCAAGTCTGACTCTCAGGTGGCATGCTGTATGTAACTCATACAGCAAAGCATACTGAACCATGAAGAAAAAAAAGCTTTGAGCCTACTGTCACATACAAACCTCTAATAGGAACATCATCAATAGAAATTTCATTTATAAAAATACCGATAGTTCACCGGTGAGCAGCAAGGGCAGAGAATGAATAAATATGACTCATCTGTGTTAATAGCGGCACCAAGTAAAAACGGTGAAAATGTGGCAGGAGATAATACAGTGGCATCCATGACAGTAGCATCCATACTATATGCCCTGGCTATGTATCTATATATCCAATATGCAATCAGAATCATTAATATCATATCCAAATTATTGGGAATTTTTCATTAGGAAGGATCTCAATTACTGAGGTTTTATTCCATCCTACCTACAGACATACACATTAATAAACTAACACAATAAATTAGCAATAACTATGCCAAGTGAATGGAAAAGTTAGAGTAATTTACTCCTGTGAATTTTCCTAATAAAGTAAACTGATCACTTTTGACAGATATAAACAGCAAAATTTATGTTATCCTTTCTATATCCTTGGAAGAAATATTAATTAAAACTAAACAAAATAATAAAATAAAATGAATCTGTGTTCTATATTTGGAATATAGAATATTTATATAACAGCTAAAATGAAAAAATCTCTAATAGTACAAATATAGTTGAAATCTACACTGCATTTCAAAGTTCATAAAGCATTTTATACGCTTGATTCCATTTGCTTTTTACAACAACCCTGTGTGATAGGTATTTTAGTACATTATTATTGCTCCCATTTTACAAATGAGGCAAATTCAGGTTTAGGGAAATTATGTGACTAGCCTGTGTCCTCATAGCTAGTAAACTGCCCAACACAGGATCAGAATCAAAGTCTAGCACTTTATCCACTGCACTATAATGCCTTGCCTAAAATGAACACATTATTTGTAAGTGCCAAAGGAAAGATAGAGAGAATCAAAAATTTAGAGCTATTATAAAAAATGTAGAGCTGGAAAGGACCTTTGAGGTGATGCAATCCAATCCCTCTTACTGTACAGAGAAGAAAAATAAGATTTTGAGAAATTAAGTGACTTGCTGATTTTTTTTCTATTATTTTACAAGGAAGAAATTACAAGAAAGACACAAAGTTTAAAGTTTACATAATAAGCTCATTTTAAGTTAGTATTACCAATGACTACCTGGGATAAAGGGCAAACTTTTTTTTAAATGCGTAAAACTGCAGAACTTGAAAATGGCTTCTAGGATAAATATGGGGGGAGAGGGATGTTCCACTATTGGATTGTCAAAGGATCCAGGACTTCTTGTAACTTTTAAAATCATTTTTACTGAATACTCACTTTTTATAATCTTACTCTAAGTGTTTATCACTGAATTATTGAGTTTCACATAACATCTTCTATTAATAGGATACATCAGTAGTATTAATATTGGCATAAAATTTTGTGGTCATTACATCATAGTAGAATGTATGTTGAAACACATTTGAAAAAAGTATAAATAAAATATGAAGTAGTGCCTTACTCTTCTGCCTGAATGGAGTCTGCAGGAGCTACATAATTGCTAGGGATATATCCAGTCTTTCCTGTAGCTATAGATCTTGCTTCCCACCAGTCTCCTTCCCTGTAACAAATACAATAGCAATTACAAGATAGACATGTTAATAACCAAGACATAATATATGTAATGTGATTTTAAGTTTTAGCAAGAGGTATACTTCAATTTTTGTTGTTCTTGTTATTTTTGTTAACCTGATTAGTATTTGGACTTTGACACACTAAAATAACTTACACAAATCAAGGGAATCCTGATATATCATGAATCTTTACATTCTGCTATTCCAAACTAGCAATACTATTTTTTAGTTTGGTCATAAAAAAAGCAAGTGAGAATTTGTATTTGAGAAGCGGTGTTACAAAATAATCAAGGCTCTGCTAAGGAGCCAGCTTCTCTGATTTCCTCAGTTGTTAGTGTACACTTCCTCCTCAAACTACCTTGCATTTTTTTCTTTCTTTGCATATTCTATTCTTTCAGTAGAATTTAAATGCCATCAGGTCAAGAAATGACTCATTAATTTGACAACTACTATGATGCCCTGAACACGGCAGTTGATTAATAAAGGTTTAATGAATTGATTTGACCTGTATGACTGGAAAAATAAGGTGAGCCACTCCAATATGTAAAAGAGTGAACAATAACAACTGGACGTGTTGCGCTGGTAACCTGAAAATATTAAAATAAGATAATGGAGAAAGGCCTCCTGACACTTCAGGTAGATCTTCTACAGAGGTGATTAATGGGACGATATAGACAAGAACTGCACAAGATGTATTGCTTGAAGGGATAGGGGAGTGGTAATTATGATCTGCACTTGTAAAGGAAGTACCTAGGTGACAGATCACAGATCCATCAAACTATCAAAAAAATATAAGAACATAAAGGCTCTCTCTTGTGTAATTCTTTCAAAACCAAAAGGATTTAAAACAAAAAATCCTTAAAATTAAGCAATCTGAGGAGCAATGATAAATTTTTACTAATTGTCCAAATTGTCTTATGATTCATTTTTTAACATTACATTAAAAACTTTACTGCATCTTTCATTCATTTCAGAAGAAGATTAAGATACCTATCACTCTAGTAAGCAAGATATTAACACTGAATAATTATAATAGGGAATCTGTTTATTATTACCTAAAATATTCTCAGGATTTCCCCCCAAAAAGCAAGAATACAATAACTAAATGCATTTCTGACCAGCCTTGCAATTATGAACACAAGTTAAAAAAGATTCCACTAAGTTTACATATAAGTATACCTGTCATTTTAGAAATGAAAAATATTTTTAAAGCCAATCATATGTTAAGACAAGCTTATTCTGTAACACTGATACTCCTATGACAATACAAATAGTTATTGCCTAATTTATTTGTTTTGTAAATCAAAATAGTGTTTTTTCCCTCAAAGCAGGGCAAAATGAGGAGAAAACACACCTCATGTCAATAATACAATTAAATATGTAAATTAAAACACTGTTAAAAATCAAAATTGTTTGGTTCTCTCACATAAAACACTGCATCATCAGATATTTGCACACTGAAAACATTTTAAGACATAAAATTTCTCAGTGAGAGGGGAGGGAAGAAAGGGAAAGAATTTGGAACTCAAAATTTTAAAAAAGGGATCTTTTAAAAAAATTTTTAATTATTTTTAGGCAATTGGGGTTAAGTGACTTGCCCAGGGTCACCCAGCTAGTAAGCGTCAAGTGTTTGGTCTGAGGCCTGATTTGAACTCAGGTCCTCCTCACTTCAGGGCCGGTGCTCTATCCACTGCACCACCTAGCTGCCCCTCTTAAAAACTGTTTTTACATGTAATTGGAAAAAAATTTTTAAAAATTTTAAAAAGACACGAAAACTTCTCAGTAAAAAATAGTGAAGACGATAAATATACCCTTTCCTGATGTTGTAAATGGGTTATTTTGCTTGAATCAAGCTTATGAATTACAGTATTCACTATGAAGAACTGTCATAACTTAAAAAAAAAAGCAGGCCAGGTACACTGGAAGAAGAAGAGGGAACAATTAAGGGGCACACTCAGTAAAACCATTTAGTTTTGGAGACTCGAGTTTTTGTGTTTTCTTGAGAAAAATAAAAATATAAAAAGTTGAATTAATATGGTCTAAAAACTAATAAGGAAAATAAAACTATTTCTTACATAAGTATTTTAAAATATACTTCAAATTTATATTATGGCTTTATGGTAAGTAAGAGAAGAGGAACTGGAGATTTGAGAGGATGATAGAAGAAAAATTACAAACCTATGTTTAAAATTCACATGATGAATTTTGTTTAAAGTGAGACAAAGTAATACAAAACAGACAGAAGAGGTTTGACCAAGTTATCTGAGCTAGTTAGCTGAGCTAGTATGATTAGATATGAACTGTTCATACAAAACCTATAGTGTCCTGGAGCTAAAAGCTTCAAAATGTTATTATTAGCCATCCTACCTCTGAAATTATAATCTTATTAACTAATATTAATGGCTTTATAATATTACTTTATCCTTAAATATTCTGAGTGGCTACAAGTCCCTTACCCCTAGTTTACAGACTATTAACTAAAACTGATATTGATTATCACAAGCTGACTTAACAGTACTTCCTAGTGAAACATTGTAATACTCACGTATTGTTAATTATTTGAAATCTTTCACCCTTCTTAAAAGAAAGATCTTCTGTAGTTCTGGCTTCATAATCATATAAGGCCACAAATATAGTAACACCACCTAACAGATAAAAAAAAATATAACATGTGGGCAAACTGTATATAAGGACTGCAGAAAAAATTCTCATAAAAAAGTTGAAACTTCGATTCTTGCCCCCATCTATGTTTTCCAAGATCCTATTTTTTTTTGGTTGTTTTTGCAAATGAACAAAAACATTTAATTAGGTATGGCCAAATATATCTTTAAAGGCTTGCCTTCATTAAGGTGTCTCCCAGAAGTATTTTAACATACAAAATTATCTGATCTTAGCCACAGAGATAGCTTTGTTCAATGACCACTGGATAACCAATATTAAAGGGGCAAAACAAGGTAATGCTTAGAGCTACAAGAGTCTTTAGAACAATGTCTAGCCCAATCTCCTTGTTTTACAGATGAGGAAATTAAGACCAAGAGAAGTTAAGTGACCAACTTAAAGTAATGCAGGTGATCCAGGTTCTTTGTCTTAAGCCAATTTTCTTTAAACCGAACCAAACTGTGCCTCATGTCCTGCAATACAGTGTAAATGGAAAAGGGATTCTCTATACATTTTGAAATCTTCTACATGTTTCTGTTTGTTAAACACCTCAATTAAAATGTAAGTTCCTTTCAGGTAGGGATTATTTCATTCTTTGTATTTGTATCCCCAGTACCTAGCATATCACACTCTCCATTCCAGTTAGATTGATTGCCTACAGTATACAATATCCCATTTTCCATTTCTGGAAATAATTCCCCCATGTCTGGAAAGAACTCTTGGAGCTTTTGGCTCCCCTTCAGGATTCAGCTCAAAGCCCCCTCCAAGTAAAAGCCGGAGGCAGTGCATGTTGAATTTCAAGTCAGGGGAACCAAGTTCTAATCCAGCTTCAAATTTACTAAACATGTGGGTGTATCTTAAAACTTTCTCAGCCTCAGTATTCTTGTTTGTAAAACGAGGCAGTTGGACTCAGTGGTCTCTGAGATCCCTTCCAACTCTAAATCTATGATCCTATGACTTTCCTGAAACCATTATTTGTTAATGCCCCTACCCAAAATTACTTTGTATTCATTTTATATATTTTTAATTTTTACTTAACCACATATATATGTATAGTGTATCCCCAACAGTAGAACTATAAGTTCTTCATAAGTTGGGAATGTTTTGTTTCTTTGTTTTGACAGCACCTAGTGCAGTACCTAGCAAAGAGTAGGTCCTTAACAAATGCTCGTTGAAGTGAACTGTTGAATCAGGGGTTTGAAGAATGAATGTTGTCCAGATTATAAACTGCAGTTTCATTAGTATGTGTATTTTGGACTCATGGGCCAAGAATTGAATAGGAGGAAGAGCACAGCCTAAGACACATGTGGGGAAACTGCATTATATTTCAATAATCCCAGGCTGCTCCCATTTAAAAATATCAATATTCTCCTGCTGATGCTATATGGATGCCTATCATTGTAAATACCATAATCTCCAAAAGAATAAATAATTGCAGAGATCTCAAAAGGCAATGGAGAGATGCATAATGATGGTAAATAATCAATCTTCAGTATATTACTAAGTGATGACTAAGAATTGGCTACATATGAAAAGATATCATCCAGGAAACGGATGGTTAGAAAGGGATGTGAAGCAGTCTTGTAAAGAGGAGGAAGAGGAAGGGAGGGCCCAGGAGAAGAGCTAAAAAGCCTGAGTGTTGCAATAATACTCAAGCAATGTTAATAGACCTTCATAACTTCCAGTATGTTGGGAAGATCCTACAGAACAAGGATCAGTTTCAGTGAGGGTTGTAGTGTGTACAAAGGCAGGGAGTACCCACACTGACTGATCAGATTCAACAAAGCTAGGGTTAGGTAGGGGAGCAAAAGAGATATTCTGTGAAACTATAGGAACTAAATCCTATGGAACCAGAGAATCAAAGTCAAAACTGATAGATATCACTAGTCAGTAACAGTAAAATTTCTATCCTGAGAAGGGGACAAATTTTTCTCAAAATACTCTGGGTATGAAAACCTAATCAGGAACTTTATATAGTAGTGTTGCCTTATCTTCCTATTTTTACAGCTTAATATTTTGGTACCAAGTAATCCTAATTTTAGCAACACAGCTAAGAAATTAATGAGATTATGTAAAGCACACCATTTACTTATGATGAGATATAATATGCTTAAAAATGAGTTCATTTTAATATACAAGTTAGCAATTTATGATTGTAAAATAAAATGCCATTTCAGGATTCTGCTCTTAAGAGTAACAGAGGGGCAACTAGGTGGCACAGTGGATAGAGCACCGGCCCTGAAGTCAGGAGGACCTGAGTTCAAATCTGGACTCAGACCAAACACTTGACACTAGTTGTGTGACCTGGGCAAGTCACTTAACCCTAATTGCCAAAAAAAAAAAGTAATAGAACATATTTATGCAACAAATATACTACTTCAATGTCAAAACATTAACTGAAGATAGGAATTCTGGGACTTTCAGACAAGGCTGCCTGAATGAGAAGAAGATCTCATAGTTCTCATGTAATACTCTAACAAAATTCTGAAGTTTGAAATAGACTGAATAAGATCAAGAAATCCAATGAGAAGCAAGGAGTCCAGGGAAACCCAGAACAGCAAATTTACTTGAGCAATTAGAAGTAGCTAAAAGATGACATAGTGCTAACATTATAATAGAGGGAGAAGAAACATGTATCCCTTTAAAATCTTAATGTCCTTAAAGGGTATGAAACAAGTTAAAAAAAAAGAACTGGAGGGTAAACTGGCTCTGTTCTGCAGGTTTGAAAAAGGATAAAAGAATAAAGCATAAAAGTAATATACTAATATAGAAAGTAGGAAGAAGGGGTAGAGTTTGCTATTTTTTCTAACTGGGGTAAATGATAAAAAGTACACAATCATGAAGAAGATGGAGGGAGTGAACATCAGATGAGAACAAATAAAATCAATTATTCTTATTTCAAATGGACAAAGGAAGATTGAACACATACATGAAGAGTATGGTGGTAGAAATATATCAGACTACATGGAAAAAGCAGGGAAAGGGAAGAGCAGGTAACTGAAAGGGAGGATAATACTGTGGAGAGAAGTCACAAGCAAAACAAAACTTCTGATCATGAAGTGGGGATTAAAAGGACAAAAAAGGGAGAAGATACAGACAGACAAACAGGAGAGAAAAAAAGCAGAACAAGAATCTAAGGGATTGTCCATCAATTGGGGGAATAGTTGAACAAATTAGGGCATGTGAACATAATGGAATATTAATGTACCATAAGAAATAATGAAAAAGTTAATTTCACATTGCAAAATGAAGTGAATACAACCAGGAAAACAATTTATACAAAGACAGCACACTGTAAGGAAAAACAAACTCTGAAAGACTTAAGAATTCTGATTAACCCAATGATTAACCATGTCCACAGAGGATGAAGCATGTTATCCACCTTCTGTCCCAGAGGTGATAAAACTCTAGGTGCAGAAACAGATGATCATTTTTGGGCACGTCCATTATGTAGGATTTTTCTTGAATATGTTTATTTCTTACAAGGTTTTTTTTTCTTCCCTCCTTTCCTTCTCTTGGCTTTTAATTGGGGAAGTAGGGTTGGAAGGAAAGTATAATAGTGATACCAAGAAAAAAAGCATCACTGAACCACTATTTTGAATGCACAGATAAGAAAAAAAGGAAGTTCACAAGGAAGCACAGACAAGACAAGATGGTTTGAAAGTAACCTATAGAATTTATAATACACTTTTTTAAAAAAAGGCAAGGAGACTTTGGACCTATGCCCAAATGGCTTATAAAACCATGCATACCTTTTGATCCAGCAATACCATTACTAGGTCTTGTGCCTCAAAGAGATTAAAAAAAAAAGAGGAAAAGGACCAATATGTGCAAAAATATTTATAGCAGCTCTTTTCTGGTGGCAAAGAATTGGAAATTGAGGGGATACACATCAATTGGGTAATGGCTGAACAAGTTGTAGTATATGATTGTGGTGGAATACTATTGTGCTATAAGAAATGACAAGCAGGATAATTTCAGAAAAACCTAGAAAGACTTAAAAGTGAAGTGAGCAGAACCAAGAGAACACTATACACAGTAATATGACTTAATTATTCTCAGCAATACAATGATCTAAGACAATTCTGAAGGATTTATGATGAAAAAATGCTATCCATCCTCAAAGAAAGAACTGATGAAGCCTGAATGCAGACTGAAACATACTTTTTAAAAACTTTATTTTTCTTGTGGTTTTTTTTTTTGGTCTGTGTTTTCTCTCACAACATGACTAATACGGAAATGCTTTGCATGAATGCACATGTATAACCTATATCAAATTACTTGCCTTTTCAATGAAGAGGGAGAGGTGAGACGGACAGAATTTGGAACTCAGAATTTTTAAAAAATAAATGTTAAAAATTGTTTTTACATGTAATTGGGGGAAAATAAAAGACTAAAAAATTTTTGAAAAAGGCAAGGAATATGAAATAAGAATTCATGGTTTCATACAGAATCCTCTTTTTGGGTTTTTTTTGTTATATTATGAATGCTCTATATTGAGTGTTTTAAGGTCAAAATAAAATTTTTAAAAAGGTATATATATTGCTTCAAAATCTGGAATTTTCAATCTGTCAGATATTTATTGTCTTTAATATATTTTAATTAGCATGCTAGGTCAGTCTGCTGTTATTCCAGCATTATTTTTAAAACGTAAAAAGCAGTGGTACTAACACATAAGAAAGGACAACTACCACTATTTTGATAAAATTACTATAAAACAGAATTAAAAAAAAAAACTTATGAAGCAGAATAGATGAGGTTCCAGAACAGTCTTGATTTTCTCTTCTTACTTGGTTTCTGCTTCCCAAAACAGAAACTGTGCAAAGATGGGATAGAAAAATTAACATACAGTAACACACTTGTTTGTCACTGTAAGGGAACTGTATGTTCTACTTAAAGTGAATTTTCAAGACAGCTAAATCTTACTACTTTAAACGCCAAAATATTTTTATTCTAATCATTTTGGATGGAAATCTTTCTAAAATGTATTACACATTTCCATACTTTCTTTAACAAAACACATAGAAGAAAATGTAACTGTTTTCTGATTCTGCCATTATTGGCTCTTATTATTCCACTGTTATGTTAGGCCTTCAAGGCTATGAAAATGTGTACCACTAATGGACATACACTAAAGGGCTTTAGTTGTTGGCTTTTTAAAAAATTTGTCTGTTTGTAGTGATTTTTTTTAGGGCAGCTAGGTGGCACAGAGGATAGAGCCCTGGGTTTGGAACATGGAAGACTCATCTACATGAGTTCAAATCTAGCCTCAGACATTGACTAATTGTGTGACCCACTTAACCCTGTTTACCTCAGTTTTTCATCTGTAAAATGATCTGGAGAAGGAAATAGCAAACCACTTTAGTTCTTTGCCAAGAAAACCTCAAAATGGGGTCACAAAGAGTTGGACACAAATGAAACGACTCAAGAACCAGTGATTTTTAAAAAAACTTTTAAGACTTCACACACACTTCTGGTTATAAGTTCTTACTACTGCCAGTCTAATATTGGCTCTAGAGGTAGTCATTCCCTCCAAACAAACATATTCTGGCCACTTCTAATTTGCTTTTTCTAATCTGCTGTGGACTGGAAAATCTAACAAGACAGAAAAATAAAAACACTGACGGTGTAACAGGATGAGAAACCTTTGGGTTAAAGTCATATTTTTTCATAAAAGAATATTACTCTTCAGGCTTGAAGATATTGGAAAGGTATAAGACATCTGTACTCCTTAGTTGAGATTTCCTGTAATCCCTATCTGAAAAACACTGAAATTATTCCAACTTTCCTATATATCATTCTTTCTGTACTAGATGACAACAAGAGTTTTTCTTCATTCTTTTGTTTTCCCAAGTACAGCAATTTATACCAAATAAATAACAGGAAACAGTTTGTAGGACCATCTAGACATGTGGCTCAAAAATGTCACAAGTGTCTATTTCTGAGAATATTTTCCTTCTGGCTTCTCCAATTTTTAAGTTCAAAGGTCTATAAGGACATTGATCGCAAATAATGATGTGGCTATAATTTTTTTCAAGATCAAAATTATCATATACATTCTCATTGTTGTGTTCTGACTTTCTATAGATCTCATAACTAAAGTATTTCTTATCATTAGGGTCCCTAAAATTCTGTGGGCTCAGGTTTTGTGAAAAGAGTCTATAGTTATAAAGTGGTCCTCTAGCTAAGACAGAATTATGAACTGTATTTCAATACCACTCATAATCCTCATATATGCATACAGACGTAAGGACTAACTGAAATGAATAAGCTCATTTCACATTAGCAAAATATACTCAAAAAAGGCAAATTATCTAGATTCAACAGCATACCTAGTTTCAGGTCTAAAGAACTAAATATATGTAGGCCATCAAACAATTTTTAATGATCAAATATATCTGGCACATCAAGTTAGGCAAATATTTTACTAAAAGAATTCTGGGATATATCACTCCTATAATGCTATAAAATATAGGTCTTAGTTAATACAGAGCACCAATTGGATATGTGTGTGTGTACATACATATATAAATTAAACACTGACAAACCTCTAAAAATGTATAAATAATTGAAAACTGTCATCAGTGAACTGAAATGAAAACTACACTGGCACGTAATAAAAGATCTCTTTCCTAGTTATATGCTTTTTCTTTCTCCCCTTTAATGCACATGGAGAAATGGAGATTATCACTATCTACAGGCCTAAAAACCGACTGTCAGGTGTCTAGTACCAAAAAACCCACATTGCTACCTGCTTGTTGCCCTAAATAAGTGACGAGACTGATGACAGAAGGATGCCTTCCTATCCTGCCTCAAAAAGTATTGGGATTTTGTGTGGATAGAGCACTGGCTCTGGATTCAGGAGGACCTGAGTTCAAATCCGACCTCAGACACATAATACTTACTAACTGTGTGACCCTAGGCAAGTCAGTTAACCCCACTGCCTAAAAAACAACAAAAACAAACAAACAAACAAAAAGTATTGGGATTTTGTCAAAGGTGGAAATAAGTCACAACATTAAATGCATTTCTTCCTCTATGCATATACAACTGGGTAAGCAATAAATACAGTAAACTACACATTATCACATATAGTTTCAACAAGGTAGGAGGACACTATAGTAACACAGATTTGATCAGGCAGCTGGAGCTTAACTTTTTCTGCTTCATTAATGAGAAAAGAGAAAGAGAGAGAAAGCAGAATATTGGTTTAAACTAAAACACCATACAAATATTTTCTTAAACTGTCCTGAACATTATTCATATATATATGTTCTAGAACGTTTAGTTTTATGATAGAGATATAACTTATCATCTACAATGAGGGAAACATATCCCACTGGGTATTTGAGTATATAATGCTACTCTTTGTTAAAGCCAGGGTCAAAAAAAATGAGAAAGTGAAAAATGTTCACTTAAAACTCACCTGTTAAACCAGTAGAATGTGAACTTGGCATAGACGAAAAGGCAGAAGTAGCGCCTCCAAAAGGTGTCATCCCTGCCGCACCTCCAAATGGTGCCATTGAATGACTGGTAAAATTAACAGCTGATCCCTTTACTGAAGATGGCTGGCACACTGAGGTAAGTTCTGATCCAAAATGACTGACATTTATACTAATAGGCTCTGGACTGCTTTCAGTTCCATATTTCATAGTTGGACCTTTGTCTTCCTTACTTTTAATGCACCCCATTGTTGATTCTACAAAGATTGAGGAAAAAAAACCAAAAAATTAAAAATATAACTATCAACTTGATTTTTAAAAGTCATAAAGATTGTTACATATGAAACAGCATGGAGCAACAGAAAGGATTGGAGTCAAGACTACACGGGTTCAAATCCTGTCTGAGATACTTATTAGCTGTATGACCTTGGGCAAGTCATTTTATCTATGTGGCCCCAGTTTCCTAATCTGCAATATGAGAAGAATAATAGCACCTACTTTATAAAATTACTATGAGAATCAAATGAGATAATGTATATAATTCTTTCTGCAAACCTTAAAATGCTAAATGCAAGTTATGATCACTCCAAAAAGATATTACTATCAATGAATAATATGAAGTAAAAAGGAACTGAATTTGCGAAATAAATGGATCTGGATCTTTTCTGGCAGTTGACCTGGGAAGATCAAATATGAAAGGAAAAATATTATATTCAACTATCAAATGATTTTATTGAAAAAATTACACTCAAAAAACAATCAAGGGGCAACTAGGTGGTGCGGTGGATAGAGCACTGGCCCTGGAGTGAGGAGGACCTGAGTTCAAATTTGACCTCAGACACTTAACACTCATTAGCTGTGTGACTCTGGGCAAGTCACTTAATCCCAATTGCCTCACCAAAAAACAAACGAACAAACAAAAAAAAATCAAAACTTGATTCATTCTTTGTTCAAAGAATTAGTTCACAGTGACAACCTGTTGAACATTATTTCAAAACACACTATAATATTCAGTTTTAAGAGAGATTTTTAAAGTAATACCACCCTTACTGGGAATAATAATACTTTGTGGCCCAGGACTGACTCCCTGACCTGATACATAAATCTTTGATGTCATATAATATGTGTATTTTTAATTCATCAATAATATGATTGACAAATTATACTGTAGTTGAACCAATATCTGCAGATGACAACAGAGCAACATACTAAAATATCTGGGATAAAGAATTTCCCTTGAGCAGTCTTCAGGGGAAAAATCATAACCCCGGAAACATATACTAAAGAAAACTGAAAAACAGAGGATTAATGAACTGAAAATGCATTTAAAAATTAGAAAACCAACAAATAAACCCAAAATAAGCACAAAAGATGAGATATTGAAATTATAGGGGAAATTGATAAAGTAGAAAAAAACCCCTATGGAAATGAAAAATAAAACTAAAAGTTGGTTCTTTGAAAAGATTAATACAATTGATAAACCTTTAGCTAATCCTATTTCAAAAATCAGAAAATTAAATGATAAAGGGAAATCACCACAAAACCAGAATAAAAAGAATAATCAGAATATTCATTCCATAAACATTAGGAACATTCTAGCTGTAAAGGAACTATCAAGAAAAAAACCAAAACAACTGGTCCTGATGGATTCACAGGTGAATCTTAGCAAATTTTTGAAGAACAATTAGTACTAATATTTCACAAATTATTCTCAAACATAGAGAAAGAAAGCACTCTACCAGAATCCTTTTAAGAGAAAGCAGAGGTATATTAAAACACAGAAGGAAAACTATGGGCTGACATCATTAATGAATATTGACTCAAAAACAAAAAGCAAGCAGCATATGCAATGAGGATACACTAGAACCTTTCCCAACAAATATGGGAATGAAGCAAGAATGTCCAGTCTCCCCATTATTATTTGATATTGTTCTAGAAAAGCTAACAACCATGGTAAGACAAGAAAAAGACATTAAAGGCATAAAGATGAGTAAAGAGGAAATAAAACTATACATGTTTTATTGATGACATAATGGTATACTTGGAAAATCTTAAAAAATCAGCAAAGATACTGAGACAATTAATGGATTCTGCAAACTTATGGGCTAAAAATAAAAAAATCAACAGCATTTCCATATAATCATTAACAAAACTCAACAAGCAAAAATAGAAAATTCCAGTCTAAATAACTATAAAATGTGTAAAATACCTGGGGATACCAATGCACAAAAAAGACTTGTACATATTCAATTACAAAGTTTTCCTTAAAGAAATAAACAATTTAAATAGCTGAAGGAATATTCAGTGCTCATGGCTAGACAGTGCAGGTATAACAAAAATGACAACACTGCCGAAGTTAACTTATACTTTTAATGCCAATCAAATTGCCCAGAAGATACTTTACACAACTTGATAAACAATAATAAAATTCCTTTGGAGAAACAAAAGATCTAAAACAGTGATGTTAAACTCAAATGGAAATGGATCCCCTACAGCAGCATATTGACTCAGAAAATCCTAAATTAACATTTACATTGTGCTTTATTTTTAATTTATTTTGTTAAACATTTCCCAATTACATTTAATATAGTCTGCTGACACTCCAGAGCTTTGCTGGCCATGATGTCAAACCATGATCTGACCTAGAACATCAAAGGAAATGGTGAACAGAAACAGAGATGAAAGAGAGAATAGTACTTTTAGACGTCAAACTACATTATAAAGCAGCAATAATCAAAACCATTTGACACTGGCTAAAAAAGAGAAAGATTATCAGAACAGACTAGACAAAAGACAATCAAACAACAGAACTCAATAACCCAGTATCTGATAAAATGGAAATACTGGGGTGGGGTGAGGCAAAGAGGGGAAGAGACTCCTTATTTTGATGGGAAAATTAGAAAGCAGTCGGCAGAAATTAGGCTTAGACCAAAACCTTAAGAGTATATTCTACAATACATCTTAAATATGTACAGGAAAGTTTATACTGTTAATCAATAAACACTTATTAAGCACTTACTATGTGCAAGGCAATGTATCAAGTGCAGGAAATTTTAAAAAAGGCAGGGGGGGGGAGACAATCCTTATCTCAAGGAATTTACAATATGATAGGTGAGACAACATGCAAAAAAAAAGTACAAAGCAAGCTATATACAGGATAAATAGGAAATAATTAATAGAGGGAAGCACTAGAATTAAGAGGGACTGAGGAAGGTTTCCAGTAAAAGATGGGATTTTAGTAGGTTCTTAAAAGAAACCAGGGAGGTTAGCAGTCAGAGAGAGTATAGAAGGGAGAGAGCATTACAGGCACAAGATACAGCCAGAGAAAATGTCTAGAGTTGGGAGATGGAATATCTAAAAAAAAATGACAAGAGAAGCAGATCATATATCTTTCACAGTTATACGTAGGAGATGTATTCTTAACCAAACTAGAGACATAGGTAATTACAAAAGATAAAATAGATAATTTATTAACTGAAAAGCTTCTGCTGAGACAAAATTAGTAAGAGAAAGCAGTCAAATGGAAGGATACATGTGCACAGTTAAGAAAATAAAGTGTAACAAAATAAATATATGGCAATTGAGGGGAATGTGCCTAACCCAATCGAAGAAATTGGAACAAGTTTCTTGAAGGTGGTAGTGCTTAAGTCTTTTAGCCTTATCATTCACTCAGTGAACATTTATTAAGCATCTACTATGTGCTAGGCACTGTGCTAAGCCTTGGGGATTCAAAAAGAAGCAAAAGACAGTCCCTGCCCTCAAGGAGCTCACAATTTAATGGAATCTAATGTACCAACTCTACAACTTGGAATCTTAGCTACAAAGGGGCAATGAAATATTAAATGATACCAGAACATGTCAGACACAGGGCTTGAACCCAAGTCTTTCTGACCCTAATGTCAGATTTTTATGTTCCACTATACTTGGCATAAAACTTGATTATCCAAGACATTTACAACTGGGAAACGAAGTGAGTTGGTCTTATAATGATGGCCAGCAATAATAGATAGCCTGAGTGCTACAATGATACCCAGATAATGTTCAAAGGACTGTAGGAGAGCTTCAAGCGTACTGGGCAGATTTTTGAAAAACTGATGAAATAAGATACCCCAGAATTACAGAGGGAGAGCAGGAATGGATGAGTGGTGGTCTGTATCTTTGGAGGGAGTACCCACGTAGATGAAGATCACGTATACACACCTGCATTTAAATAATGCAGAAACAGAATCATGCAATCAGGAAGTTAACAGATTAGACTCACTTTTCTGACTCCTCCTAAACCAACATTTTCCCTACTATACCAGACTACCTTGAAGCCATATGAAGGTAAACTATGTTATTGGTTTTTTTAAAAAGAATTATTCATCCTAAATTGGTGAATGTTTGAAACCCTACCTACGATTAGTTCATCTTAGGTTAAAGTAGTACGTTTTAAAGATTTTCCACTGAGAATGCTAACTTTAAAATATCAGTAAGTTGAGAAATATCAGGAGAATTTTGAACAACATCCATATCCAAAGACTTTACATACTTAAAATATTATATTATTAAGATCTGAAGACAAAATAGCCTACATTACCCAGAAATGATGAAAATGTACATTGAAAACCCATTAATATGATTATTTTACTGTCTGATCTTTAACAAATTAACTATCCATGCCTTAGTTTCCTTATCCATAGCATGGAACAAGTAATTACATAATGAAAGTGATACACTAAGAAAGGTTAAGCTTTTAAAACTTTTAAGTAAAATTTAAATCTTAAATAATTTTTCCTCTAATCCAAGGACAAAATTAAACCTTTTTTTCCAAGACTTTTTTCCTTGTGTTTTCAAAACATGAATATGCCATTAGATTCCACAAAGAAAAACAAAACATTAGACAGAAATATTCAGTCTTCTCTAGGCAGCTAGGAAGCACAGTAGATATGTTGCTGGGTCTGGAGTCAGGAAAACCTGAGTTTGAATCCAGTCTCAGACACTTAATGTCTGTGTTAACCAGTGCAAGTCATTTAAATGTTGTTTGCTCAGCTTCTTCACCTTTAAAATGGGGTAATATCAGCACCTTTCTCACAGGGCTGGGCTGGTGTGACATAATATTTGTAAAGTGCTTTATCACAGTACCTAGCATACAGCAGGTACTACAAAAATGCTTATTCCTTTCTTCTTCCCTTCCAAATATGCATTAAGAAATAAAACAATCCAATTTTCAGACCTGATGTTTAGATAATGGTTTTAAATGCAATATACAAATGTT